GGTGGTTGGCAAAACACCCCCGCTGGTGGTTGAGTGGGGTGCAGTCGCTCGTTGCTTGGGCCAAGATTTTTTTTTTCTTTTTGAAAGCTTAATCTTCATCTCACAGTGGCGACATTAGGTGTGGTATGTGTCAGAGAACATCTAGGTATGTGGTAAAGTGCGTGATGAAATATTTGCCACGCTGGCTGGCTTTTATCACGGAGAAGTGAACACACGTACGTGGCGGCCTGTGCGAGGAACAGCGGCATCATCCTCGAAAATTTGCAGCGTTGACTGTGGCGTGTAGTGTGCGTTGAAAGGCATCGAAAATATTGGTTCACCATTACGGACGGTGAAACTGGGACTATTGTGCGTGGTGTGTGCAGTGTGAATAACGCGATGCGTCCTGTTTGCGAAAACACTGGTATTCGTTGTGGCCCGGTTGCAGTAACCGGTTATCGATATAACTTCACGATCTGTCATTTTAGTCGAGATAAGAGAGCATTTGACGTGATTATCTGCGAGTGGGTACGTCTCAACGTATGCGCGGCGTGCAGAAAAATAGAAGTGCATGATTTCCGGGGACTACGCATGACCTAGGTATAAGCATGTTACAGCATTGCCGAATCTGCATATACGCTTCGCCGCGGCTATAGTTGGTATTATTGGATACCTGGTACGTGCTTATGGAAACAGCGGAGATTTTCGTTTCTCATCTACTTTGCACTTTTACTGCTCGATCCCTATTAAGTGACAATTAGCAATAGAAGTTCGTGTATCAGGCCTAAAGAAGCAATATAGGAACGACAACACGTTATACGTGTCAAATGCAGCAAGGTAACGGTGCCAGATAATATTGTCGCAAATGTTGTATATTATTAAGTCGTTGGGTTTTACATTACATAAATAATTTTCACTGGGTTATAGGGAAACGCAGCGGCAGAATTTCACTTCAATTTTCACGAGGATATGTTAACCTGAGCCTTACACACGGCAAGAAGTGTTTCTCTCTTTTTTTTTTCATTCATCTTCAATCAGAGTTTTGCGCAATGAGCGAGAATCTTATCCATGACGTCGCGCACAGCAGCTCAAAACCACGCTGCCGCCAATGCTGTACCTCGTTTAATGCTGCAGTGCACATGGCACGATGGAAACTGAATGAGTTTACATTCATGCCATGCAAATATTTCTCGAAGTGCCAGTCACCGTGTACATTCGAAACGTTCGCTTTCGAAAAAGATCAATTTTTTTTTACGGCTGCCATTTACGTGGGTGCAGCGTATACTGCGTGCTAGTCGCGTCTCTCAGTACTCTAAATAAAGTTTCTCCATCCATACATCCATCTGCGACGAATGATTTCCACACTAGGAGCAGTGACCCTTCCGCGACCCCCTTCTTTTAAAAGCTGTGACTAGTGTAGGTAGAGAGAGAGAGAGAGAGATAAATAGAGAGGAAAGGCAGGGAGGTTAACCAAGCTTGGCTCGGTTGGCTACCCTACACTTGGGGTGGGGGAAAAGGGGAATAAATTTCTGTCGAAGGAATGCAGACACGCAGCTCTGCTGTGCAGAAAGATGCCACCGGCGGAACTTTCTTGCCAACCAGCACCTGCTCCGAGAGAGGGTATGGTGGGCGGGGTGCCCGCGTTGACGTCAGTCTGTTTACAAACAGGGAGAGGTCTATTATTGTTGTGTAGCAGAACTACTCCCCAAATACTCCATTTTTTAGGATCTCTTGACGAGCGCTCCCATTGCATCGAATCACGGTTTCATTCATTTTCGATGAAGGCGAAAATTCTGGCTGTTGGCCCTCCACTACGACGTCTCTCCTAATCATATGATGGTTTTGAAACGTTAAACCCCACATATCAATCAAACAAGCGCTCCTATTGGTTTGCGGCGAGTCGATTCGGCGGCATACGCCGCAAAAATCGGTGCGAGAGCGATTAGCGCGGACAGGGCCCCTTCGGCGGCCATTCGGAATGTTCAAGTGTGAACGAGCCATGACAGTGTACTGTATAGCATTGCGGTCCCGCGAGCGAGTTCGCTGCAAGTGGCGCCGCGAATTCGCGCCTCCCGCGAAAACGCCGTCGCTTTTCGTTCGTGTTTCAAAAATGTAATGTAAAAACTTAATTTTTTTTGCGCGCTTGTAAAGGCTGGTTTGTTTTCTCACCACACTGCCATGGGGCGCGATGGGGTTTTTCATGCGCAGAATCATTTTCTTTTTAAATGCAAATGCACTTCTTAGTCGGGCTAGGTCAGGTATCCGGCGTTGTCCCCGGCGGCGTGCGCGCGCCGGCGGGTGTTATGTCCCCGCTCTCACTCGCCAAGCAACCTCGCCCCAAGCAACCATGTGGTGCGAGAGAGTGTAGGTGCAGTTAAAGGGACACTAAAGACAAATAACAATTTACGTCAGAGTGACAGCTCAAATGTATGACAACACCTAAAACGACAATATTATCAACAGCAGTGCCCTAATTACCGAGAAATTAAGGTAAATGCACAAGAACACAAGCGCCGCAGTAGGATATTTTCAATATGATCCCGATGACATCAGACGACCGCCTACAATTAATCACTGGTAATCGATCTAACTGCTCTAAATAAATAACCTTCCGTGCATCAAGAGACGCAATGAAATGCTGCTTGTTCGTTTCAGTTTGATTCATGGAAAAAAGGATCGCCGGACGTTACTATGGGGAATGGTGCGATAGGTTCAAAAATTCAATTTTCGCATGGTTGGATGCATGGATGGATGGGTGGATGGATATAGCTGTACCCTTTAGATCGGGCGGTGGCTAGCGCCACCAAGCCGTAATACTTAATGAACCAAAAACTATATTTAGTTTTTTTCCTTAAAAAGTGAGTTTGAGGATTCGTACTTTGCAGTGAAGAGTTTAATTTTCACTCGTGCCTTGACTTTAGCCACCAATCAGATAACCTCCTTCTAGTTAAGTCTACCCGCTTAAAGTCTATTTTGCCCTCCCGGTCCCTAAACCCCAGTGTTTTGAAAAACTCTGCGCCATCATCCTGAACTATAGGGTGAAGCCCTTTACAGAACATTATCAAGTGTTCGGCAGTTTCTTCTTCCTCTCCACACGCACTGCATACTGTGTCTACCCCTTCGTATTTGGCCCGATATGTCTTGGTTCGCAGTACTCCCGTCCTGGCCTCAAACAGTAGAGAACTACCCCGAGTATTATCACAGATCCTTTCCTTGGCAATTTCCTGCTTAAAAGTTCGATAGATCTCTAGTGCGGACTTCTTAATCATGCCCATTATCCACATGTCAGTCTCCGTTTCCTTCACTTTCTTCTTAACCGATAGTTCTTTTTGGTTTGGCCACCTGCTGTTTTCTAAGTATTTACCAGTCAACTTCCTGGTTCGCTTCCTCCATTTTGTATCGACATTCTTCATGTACAAGTAGCTGAAGACCTTCCTAGCCCAACGCTCCTCCCTCATTTCTCTCAATCGCTTCTCAAATTTTATCTTGCTGCTAGCTTCCCTGCCCTCAAATGATGTCCATCCCATATCACCTTGTACTCCCCGATTTGGTGTATTGCCGTGAGCTCCTAAAGCAAGCCTACCTATTCCACGTTACTTAATTTCTAATCTTGCTTGAACTTCTGATCTCATGCACAAAACCGCATTGCCGAACGTCAGCACCAGGAACCATGACCCCTTTCCATATTCCTCTCACAACATCATACCTATTGTAATTCCACAGTGCCCACAGTTACACGGGACAGGTGGTGCCATCTAGCGGGGCACCACTAACAAAAGCGTCTGCACTCTCTAAGCAAATGGCGGGAAATTGGTAATGGCCGCTGTTGCTGCTGTGGCTGCCATTGCTTTCGGTCTGCTGCTACTAGCGCAGTAAAGTAGGGCAACATTGAGCGCGGCAACAGTGACGTGAGACGGTCTGGTCGGTCCCCTTCTTGAGGCGGGTAACTTGAAGTGCGCTAACCCGATGCGCAGCACTAAAACGTGATTTTATTTCAAAATGGGCCCTTCTTTGGCACGAAAGTAACACACAAGGTTTCTGGACCGCCATTTAAACAATCAACGTTGACCTAATAGTTGGCTTTAGTGTCCCTTTAAAGTCTTTAGGTGCAGTGCTTCGCCGCTCTCTCTCTTCCGTGTGCCCCACTCACCCGTCAACTCGCGCCTCACTTTTGACCGTTCACTTGCTGGGTGCCTCTCAAGAACATCTGAAAAAACACTAGTGGTCCCAGTGCAAGTTTTGCGATGAGGTGGAAAATTTGGTCCACGTAGTGTAGACATGTCCGAGTAAGAATGATGGTTCGCACACTGTAGAATCCTGGGAGGCCCTGCTCCGCAGCCTAGACCCCAACATCCAGTAAGACGTAATTAGTCAAGCCCTTGCTGCTGCCATATCTTGGGGTTCATGGCCGATGGGCTATGCCTGAAGGTATTGACCGACTTTTCTTTCAACACAGTTTTTCTGTCCACGGGGCTCTCCATTTGGTTACTAGGAGTTGAGTCATCACTGGGAAATCAAAATCCTGTGTCCAGTGTTTAGTCAATGTGGAAATCATTATCCACGTGTTTTTCGAAACTCGACGTCAAATCTCCTTCAGCAATTATCCATATATGAGATACAGCAAAGGGGTTCTTTCAAATGGCAACGTTGGGTGACATTTTGTTTGAAATATCTGCCATCTCTTCACTGTCCCAGCCATTGCAGGACTAAATTGATCAACTTTCGGAAGTTGGTTTGAGATCCCTGTTAGGATGAACCGTGGATACTTAGTAATGACAAGGATACTGAAGTCTTCCAAGCGTGCATGCCGGGTGCCGGATGTGGGCGTGTCCGGCATGCTGATCACTCGTTCGCCTTCAGTTGGCTCATGTGTCCTGCATCATCATACACTGCATGGCATGTCAGGGTGGTGATCGTGATGTGAGCAACATAAGTTGGCAATCCTGGAGGCACCCTCACTATTCTTTCTGCTGTCATTGTTACCATGTAGTTAGTAAAGATGCCAGAAATTTGGCTAGCAATGTCACCACAAATGAAAAACAAATTTTATTGCCTTCTATAAATATGTCATATTAACATTGATATGGCATTCAAGAGTTTGTGAAGCACGTGTGACAAGTTTTTATGAGCAGCCAGATTTAGGAGAGAGCAGCATTCCAGTTCTGTGCATCCTTGTATGTGGCAAGCATTTTGAAACGATGATGGTATGAGGTGTAATACAATTCACTGTACTGTCATCTGTTGGGTTAATTTGCTCTGTAAAGTGTGGTGGTTTGTTATACAAGTTTCGTTCACAAGTTCATCATAATGACCACTGTAAGGATCACTGTAATTATTATGTCATTTGATCACAGTGGAAAACGTCTCCTTGCCACCTCTCACTTTTTTTTCTCTGTAAACAGAATGAAAAATTTAATTATGGAATTGGAACTATTATTTGATTTCATATTTAGTCAAAAAACAACTCCAATAATACTCATAATATGAAACATGGCCAATGCTTGTACACAGCACAACACACAATAAAGCTTTATACATAGACATCTGAAGAATGTTGGAATGCGTTTTCACATAACAACTGTACAGTACCACAGATGCTTGAGCAGCCGAGGCAAAACTTTGTCACAACAGAACCCAAGTACGCGTTTCACGCTACATGAGTTACGGAAGGAGTGGCAGCCAGCACCACAGCTTATCACTGAAGCTTCCGCTGCGCTTGTTTTTTTTTTTCACAGGGCTTAATATCTGAAAACAAAGAGAACAGCGGCCATAATTAGCAAAAGTGCGAAATTTCTCTGAGATTCTCATGTTTTCATGAATACGTGTAGAAATAAAGTTGTTTTTCAATAGAAAAGTGCATTTTATTACTATAAATATTTTTTCATTTCTTTTCTCCCATATACTGCGCTTACGTGAGTGTCGGCATATTATGTGCACTTCGCACTATGCAAGTTTAATAAAAAATAGTATATCAGAGAGTTGATTGATTGATATGTGAGGTTTAACGTCCCAAAACCACCATATGATTATGAGAGATGCCGTAGCGAAGGGCTCCGGAAATTTCAACCAGCTGGGGTTCTTTAACGTGCACCCCGATCCGAGCACATAGGCCTACAGCATTTTCGCCTCCATCGAAAATGCAGCCACCGCAGCTCGGATTCAATCTCCCTACCTGCAGGTCAACAACCTTAGCCACCAGACCACCGCGGCAGGGTACGAGTGTCACACAGAATGTGCAGCAGAAGTGAAGGTAATAACTGTAGAAGGATTACTACTGTGGCACAGTTATACAACTCCATTTAATGCACAGCTTTCACAGCACCCAACACAGAGCATTATCATGATGGGAAGAAATGCAACCACTGCAGCATCTGTGCACTCTGCTGTTTTGCATTTCTTTTCAAACATCTGCCGCCTGGATAATAATAGAAAGCTACTGGAGTCATCAATGATACAATCAAAAACCATTCTAGCATCTTTTTATAGCCACCAAGGTCAGAGCATGATGAAAACAGCATGCCCAGCTGTTTGCGTTTATTTTCATCACTCCTGCACATTGCATACTATTACTGAATGAACAGAAGTCAAACCTCAATGTAATGAACTCATAAATGCCGAAATATTGACTAGAACAATGCTAGCTAAAATTTGCTGCGAATACAGTGCAACACATATTTAGAAGTGCAGAACGAAAAGTGACAAAGGGGCACAACTACAAAGCAAGTTCTTCTGATGTCTTTTTTGCTGTTAAATATAGTCGTGCAAAAAAAGGTTGCATAGGTCTGTGTACAACATGATAATTAAGAAGTACCTGCGGTGTGATCAGGTGCACTTCCACGCAGACTGTGGCAGGGACTGCAGCCAGTGCGCCCGCCTCCGCGCATACAGCAGCCACGCGAAACCAAGCACGATGCAGAGCACCATCTCAATGTTGTAACCGTCTATCGTAGTCTCGCAGGTGCCCCCTTGGCTGGTACATGTCTACAAAGAAAATAGGCAGCGCCAGTGTTGCAGAGTCAACTGCGATTATGCAAAAATCTGGTGCACATCCAAGTGGTTTGCACGCTACTACTACTGAATGAAGATTGTTGTGTATACGTATCCCAGAAGAGTACGGCCTTTGAGTCCGGTCTTAGAGAGCCGCAGGGCATGCGTCGACCATCGCCGTGGCGAGAACACGATAGTGCTCAAGGTCGCAACACTTTATTGCCTGTGGCAACACCAAAAACGCAGTACAAAGCCGCTGCAATGCGCGGCGGGAAAGCAAATGGACTTATTCACGCCACGGGGGAGAAGTGCTACACAGGGGTGCCGTGAGCACGTCTCCAAGGTAAAAGTGATTTACGGTGACACCGGGACAAAGGGCCCGGTAGCTCGAGCGAGGGCAAAGGCACTCGCATTAACTTCGGAGAGAAACGGGTCGGCGTAGCTTGGCCATGTACTAGGACACCGTACCGCTTTTTGGCCTAGCGTACGCAAAGGGGCAACAAAAGGTGAGCGTTCGCCTCGGGTGCGAGGCGCCGTGGGTGAAGTCCGACGAGCCCCAAACAATGGGAGTTGACGGACGGAAAAGAGAATGCGTACTCACCCTCAGCTGTCCCAGAAAAATCTGACTCATTCCCCTACGCGCGCGCGAAACGTCCCGAGAGACCTTGCGCAAGGCGCCACAGTCGACATCCACTGCAGGGTCAGAGGGGTTAAGCGTCCCTCCTCGCTCTCCCAGCGTGGCAAACAGCGGAGGAGGGCAGTCATGTCGAGACATGAGAACGGCAGAAATAGGCGGCAAAGCCCGCACTAAGGCAGCAGGCTAGCTTCAATTCCCACAAGATTATGAAGCCATGTTTGTTGAAAAAACACTAAAGACAAACCGTGACTTGGTTTAGATTGATAAACTGCACTCCGAGAACTCTAACGCCGTAAGTGTAACTTGGGCGAGTCGGTCGGTCACCCATGAACTTGGCTCGTATCGGCGAGGTACATAAAACAAGGAATTGGATCACGTGCAAAATGAGTTGTGTTTTTTCGCGCATGTATAAGATTACCCACCGTCTTAATACAACCTGAGTTCTGGTTCCATGTGTTTCACAATCATAAGTTCATTATCAGTGGAGAAAATTACATTTTAAAATTTGCGCCGAAATCTCCACATGCAACGTCAGAAATTTCGAATTGTATTCTCGTATTTTTGCAACAATGCCTCGATGAAAATTTCTGAAACTTCATATGCTATATACAGATGACAATGTACTTCTATTTTATCTCCTAGAAGCCATGCAGGAGCCAGCAAATGTCTTAAAAATTCTCGACACCAGGGCATTTGGTGCGGGAATCTTAGGATGGCATTTTCACCCACATTTTCACATTGTGCATTTTCTCGCTTAGCAAGCCTTGTGTCGTGGTAAGAGTGGCGCTTTCGAGATTATGAAATTGTACATCACTAATACACAAAAAATTTTCCTGCTCTCTAGTATCCTATTAAGATTAAAACAGAAGAATATACAAAGTTACTGTGGTCAGTGCAAGGTGCACATGTTTCTGTCCAGCTAATACCTTTTCTCCGCCTCTCCCCCTTCCACAAAGACACTGTGATGTGCCCCCGTCTTTTGAGGCTTTATCTCACTTGAGAGCACTTCTCACTACTGATGCAGTTTGTAGTGGTTATAGGAACAATACTGGAGGCTATGCGGGTCGAAAGACGCTGAAGACGCTTGGCATTGTTGGCACGGCTGTATTTAGTGGCGTGAAACATAGCCTTTGCTAACTCACGGCTCTTCTAGTTCATGGCATGGCTGCAAGACATGGAATTGTGAAAAATGCATTTAATTCATTTTTTTTGCTGGTCTGTGTTTGAAATGAAAGTTGTGTTTAGCGATTTCAGCACCTAGTTGTTTAGTCTGGCTTAAATCTCAGCACCAAAAATTTTGCTCAGTGTTTCTCCCTTCAAGTATTTGTAGGATGTAATGCCAGTCTGCAGTTTTATAGCGATTCTAGCTTTGTTGGGACATTCTGTAAAGTCTCGTCGTCCATTTAATTAAAATTATTTGAACAGCTTAATTTACATTTAATACGGCTATTATTTCATGTTAAAGTAGGCGAGCTGTCTTAAACGACGGCCGTTGCCAGCACTGGAGCAATGTTTTGCATAGATAGTATGGCAAGAAGTAGCTGACGAATGTAATTTATGGTTAAGATAATCAGCCACACACCAGCACCACAGAAAAAAAAGTTAAGGCAGCTTTGCAATAGAGGGTCCATGCCTCAAGAAGTGTGGAGCTGGGCAGGCTACTTTGTTTCTCTTTGGTTTCCCTTTGTTTCTTCTTCTTTTCTTTCTCTCTTTATTACTACTTTTCCTTTTTTCTTCATTTCCCGCATGCTTCCTCTTTTTCTGCTTCTATACATGGTTTCGCATGCGTGTGTGATGATCTTCAAGCTGCTGAACAAGCAAGAAAAAGACGACTTCTCCTTGGTGCGAGCATGCACTTAATATGCCACAAATGGCTATGCTACAAGTGGTTTCGCCTGCGTTATGCCAAGCGACAGCAGCATACGACAACCCAGGCCCCTAAAGTGCCCCACACCTCAAAGCTTTTGCCCACCATGAGATATCTAACATAAATTGGCTCAAGACAAACTCAGTCGCAGCTTCCCTTCCTTGACAACGATTTCTGGCTATGCCAGTTCTATGGAGCGCCCAACACAATCCATTTATCGAAGTATTGACCCATGAAGCAATGCATAAAACACATAAATTTAGGAGTATTACGGCATGCAACCGTGTGCAGTCATCACCCCGCTAATCTTGCTCATCTTGGTTTAAAGAAAAAAAAAAGGTTACATTGTCTCAAGCAAGTTATAAAGTGGTCAGCATAGGTGTAAAAAGAAATTTGACTCCTGATATACCTTTATACTGATTCGAGCCAATAAGGGGTGGCATCACCTTGAGTGAGTTGCCATGTTTAAACACTGCCAGATGAGTGATGAATCCCTAAAGAGTCAAGTGATTCAAATAGACAATTAGGCCAGGGAAAACATAGAGAATGTCAACTGTTGCCTTTAATCGTAATGCACCCATTGTGGCAGATGTAAACTGAAAATGAAGTGGACTAAATATCATCCTATGCAACAGATCGATTAAAAGGTTGCGGTTTCTGATCACTCAAACAAAAGTTGCCATCTTTTGCCTAGTTCAGTTTACGTCACAATTTGTACACTACAAATAAAAGAACAATTAACATCCTCTATGCTTTCCCTGGCATTTGTCTGTTGATTTATTTCACTGTGTCTAACGTATAACCGAGCCCCTGTAAAATAAATTGCCCTTCTGTCATTCCATCGCTAAACACTTACACCCACATCTTCCTCGGATGAACACGAGAATCGAGCCTCAAAAAAAAAAAAAAAAAAAAAAAAAGCCCTTTCTGGCATCAAATCACTAATACTTACATCCAGATCTTCCTTGGACGAACACGAGAGCCAGCCTTTGGCAGCGCCAACACAGTTCTTGAAGGTGAGACTCTCCACCATCCACAGCGAGAGCGTTGCGGGCCAGTTGCCTCCGAGATTGGTGATGGTGTTCAGGAGGGTCATGTAGGTTCCCCCAATGGCGGGGTCACTCACTCTAGCGTGGAATGCCATCAGGGACACAAAAATGCTGTACACGGTCACCTGCACATTAAGACCGAGCACACTGGCAAATCCCTGTTCAGTACTAATAGGTGTACTCGTAATATGGAAACCGACCAAGCAACATGAAAGATGTGCTCGATTAACCGAGAAAGTTGGTACAATCACATATTTGGTTAATTTCTTAGTCCCTCGTTTGTGCCACACTACTCATTCAACCAAAAGCACTGCACATTCAGGTGGCAAGAGCCACCTGATCGTGCAGTTATTCGGCAGCCACTTGGTGGTTCACTTATTTCCCAGGACAACATTTTGGCTTGATCACCATTTTTTTCATTTACATCCTTGCACTGTCACCACTATGTTACAGTATTATTGCCCTGTGCCATATATCACTGCCTGCATGCAAGTGCTCTTTAGTTGACTAAACTAAATAAAATAAAGAAGGGTAAAGCTTATGCATGAACATGTACTTTTCAAATACAATGCTTATTTTTTATAAATTGCTCTTATCATATAGTTAAACTGCCATTGCTTTGTTCTTGGAGTCTACACAATTTTAGCTCTTTACGTAAGGCCGTCATGAAAACATCAATGATTGGCTGCGGGTGTTGACTGCGCCATATACGTACTGGCATCCACTGGTTGTGGTCACAGCAGGCATCAAGTTCAGCAAACTAGTAAACTGTCATGTTACACAAAACACTGTATGGGAAACTTGGCATATTCATTTACTCTGTTTAACGAACATGTCATGAATTTGTTTCAGTTTGGATGGGATGCTAGAGTTCATTATTCAGCTGTAAATGCAGGCATCTATAAGAGTATACTATATTAGACAGCGAACATGCACTGTGCTGCCGGCATCTTACTGTAGTGAAGAAGTGTAGCTTAGAGTGAAGAGTGGCAATAAAGACAAAGTAAACTAGCATCTTCGTAACGACATTTGGCGGGTTTATTCACTGTTAAGTTACAAATTCTTACCTGGTGGACTGCGTAGACAATAACGATGATTGCATAATAGTAGAGGGGGAATGTTCCATCTGGATTCTTGACGTGATATGTCCAGTGCAGAAGAATCATGAACACCAATCCAAGCAACAACCTGAAGCAAGCCAGAGGTGTGCGACAGTAATAAATAGTGTGTTAGGGTAACCACATTTCTCATCATCTAGCCGAACAAGAAGATTACTACATTGACATTCTTTTTGTTCTTTATACTTCAGTGCTATTTTTCCATAACCAATCCAAATCCACAAGAACTGCCCAGACCAAGTGAATAGATACACTTCAACCTCATTATAACGAAGTTGCATCTTACATGCAGATAAGTTCACTATAACCGAAAAATCGTTATAAAGGTTTATTCCTAACACTGTATCTATTGCAAGACTATTTTTCATTTACTTCAATATAACCGATGTTTTATTATATCCGGTTTAGCTATATTGAGGTTCCAGTGTAGCTAAATGAATTTGCACTCCTGACGTAAATTCCGTTTCATCTTGCTTCTTAATTTATTGATGTTACGTGTGTAAATACGATGGTGGAACTAAAGAGAGAAAGTAAATCAATGCAAAGCTCTGACCCACGAGTATTTACCAATGGTGCAACAGAAACAAAAGCACTTAGAAAGCAAGGTACGGTATAGGCACTGAATCACACACGAAAGTTTATATTGCTACAAAGGACGTTTTGAAGAAGAAAAAAAAAACACGCATTTGCAGACCAACATAAAGCACTGACCAAGATAAAGAAACCAGCTTACAGGCATTCCAGAGAGAAGATAAAGAGGAGTGCAAGGCAGGGAGGTTAACCAGAAGTTAGTATCTGGTATGCTCCCTTTCAGATTGATTGAAATAGCTAGTATTTCTCTAAAAGATTTGTTTCTTTGACATTTATGTATTTATTTATCTCCGCAAGACCAGAAGCATTACAGAGGGGAGTGGTTGCAAACAATGCAATACAGGAAAAAGGAAGAAATAAAACATCCAAAATGTGAGTGTCATGTTGCTGGGCTATACAGTTATATCTAATGCGGTTAAGTATTTACTAGCTACAATACCAAGCTGAACCCCCCTCCCCCACCACCACCACCACCACGCTGAGTTCCATACCTGTATGGATACGCTTTGAAAAACACGTCGAGTGGCCTGTGGCCACCTGTGTGCTTGCTTATAAGCAGCGGCAGCATGATCTGAATGGGCACCATCGGAATGGCCAGCAGGGCTAAATTTTCCCGGTGCAAGCCAGCCTCGAGGAGCTTCAACCCAGTCACACTGTCGGCGACGCCGAAGCCCACCTGCACAGTTGTGGTAGAGTTCATTTGAATTCCTCATAGCTTGTTAGCTCAGAAAGACACACGAGTCCCACTGCAGGTAACCGAGCCGTGCGATACTCTACACCGTGCATGTGTGTTGTGAAGTGTGTGCACTGAAGCTCTATCTCTCTCTTTTATTCTCTCATTACCCTAGCAATATGTAGGCTAGCAGAGTGGACATGGTATAGTCAACGTCCCTTTCTTTCCTGAGTTCCGTTTCTCTCCCTTTCTGCTTGCATTCCAGTGCACAGCAAGATAAACCCATAGCTTTGCTGTAGGCCCTGTGCGAGAAACATTTTAAGGGCGAACATTGGGCAAAGTTTGAAGGTTATAGAAATCACATAATGTTGTGATTACCACATGATAAAAACAGCGTCAAAGTTGTGAAACGCATCTACCGTTGTGATGGCGAACTGTACTAGCACCTGTGTTGCATTGTGCCCACGTGGTTGTGCTTTTCACATAAACAATTACAACAGCCATCTGTAGGTCCAAGTAACAACACTGAGATGAGGTTAAAACCCCATTTAGTCTCAATTCAAGACTTTTCGTTACTGTTACACAAAGCAACAAGTGGCCTATATTTTCTAAAGATGATCCGACAGTCAAGCAGGCAGATGCAATCGCGATGCAAAGTAGAAGGTCAATAGCTATCAACAATTACAAAACCTCTGATCATGTGTACCAATGCCATAAGAGATCCCTGAACTTTGCCTCACACTTCCACGTACTCAAACATTGGTGCAGGATGCTAATAAAGTCAAGCGGTGCACATGAAAATCACGAATGTAACTCACCTTGCACGTGAACAGGAAAATGCAGAATGTACGGACACTAGGGAGATGAAAAATGCGCAGGGCCATTTTGTACGTCTGAGCAATGCCAAGGTCGGGATGGCCGTCGTCCTCGTCCGTTGCAGATTTGTCTCTCTCGTGCTTGAAGAGCGCCACCAGTGTGGTCGTCACCATGAACACGATGCCCCAGAAATACAGGAACCCTGAAGATGCAGTACGTTGTAATGAAGCACCAACCTTGTGCACTTACATAGTATTCTATGTTCAAACATAATGCCAGTTATGGTAAATACTGCTAAACCAGTATTAAGCTTCTTCACTATAGTAGAAAGTAAGATGTGCAGACACAACAAGCTCAGGAGAAGGAATACAGACAATGCTTTCTTCTACAATGAATTCCAGCAAACTGGTTGAATTTCCCAACGTCCCTAATTTTTGGGAGTCACGCACGTGACTTTCTGAGTATTAAGCATGTGAACGAGGGCACAACTGCAAATTGAGAACACTTATAAGCTATGTTATCACATCTGCTTGCCATTTAAATTACCATCTGCACTGGTGTAGCCGGGGCGGAGGGGGGCAGGATGCGACCTACCCAGAAATTTTATTTTGTATGGGCATATATATTATACGTGCACACATACAAATGCATGCCTAGGCATACATAAAGTATAGTTGAAACCCACCATCTGAAAAAAAATTTCTTGCTATGCCCCTGACTGAAACACTGCCACTTTGGGAGACATCGTGCCAATGCTGTTGAGTTCCTCCTAAATACAAATGCAGCATATCAATTTAATTATTCAGTAAAGTTATGATAGTAAAAATTTTTAAATTCAAAAATCTCAAGGCTTATTCAAAGTAAGTGCATAGCACTTGCTATGTGTCGTCCACTCATTCAGCAATGCCCAATCTAGGCATACAAGATATCGTGTCGCTCCCTTAACAGAAGATGGTTTTCATGCCTAAACACTTTGTAGGACATTTTCGGCCTGAGCGGATGACCAATGCAAACTGAATTTCAAGCTTTTAAACATAACCAAGCAAAACAGTCTCGATAACAACTGCTGCAGTACAGTGATTGGCTGAGTAAGCAGGAGGCTTCTCACCATCAAGGGTGACAATGCCATCCTTCTGGGGTTCAGACCTCAGGTAGCGGTTGCAGAAGTCTGCAGACTCCAGGGCCAGGAAGACCACATTGCCCAAGAAATAACCGGCCGTTTGCCCCACAGAATTGCAGGTGGATGCGTAGCCTACATGCCTCCTAGAATGGTGAAGGAGATGCGTCATTTGTGGTACTTAGTAATAATATCAAATGACTACTTGTAGCACACATTTGCAGCACTCAGAGAGATCGTGTTCGCTTTAGCTAGGTCGTCAAAACTCAAGGACTGATAAACCTGACATGGAAATATAAGCTATCAATCCTGGGAGCTACCATGCATTTCTTGGACATCAGATGACAGACTTTCACTATTGTTCAATGACTGTCCATGTAATAACTCCTTCCAGGCATCATAGCGGCAGTGAGGTAGAGGCGCTCCAGTTCAGTGCTATCCAACTTACCTCATATAACACAGAATGGATGGGTAATCTAACCCAACAAGTGAGATCGAAAATAGGCACTGACTTTCCAGCTACCCTGCAGTGAGAACAGTCCTGAACAGTATCAATTTCAAAGTGCTGCTTATGTTTAAAAAGAAAGACAAGCAAGTACTACTGTACTAGCGGACAGTGATTGGTTCCACATTTTGGCTAAGTTATGTGCAATAATACTTGCATAAATACTTTTGTATGGTTCCGGGCATTTAATGCTGAAGATGCAAACACACACAAGACACATCGTAAATAACCTTTGCACATGAGTGGAAACTGCATTAGAATTTTCGTCTGTCAGCCTTTCGTAACTAAACTACTTCATTTCTCGGTAACACCTGTTTTGTACGTTACCCATTACTCTTGCAAGGCTCGCTAGATGAAAGCACATGGGGGTGTTCATACCACCTATAGAATCGTTTTGCACGTCCGAGTCAAATGCTGCCAAGCAACAGCTGGCGCTCTGCGTCGCGCGGTGGCACTACTGGCGCCTCCTGGCAGGAGCGAGGTCACACAGGTGCATGAGGATGAGCACTCTTGGGTCTTGGCGTGGCTGTGGACGGTCATCTCTTGCAGGTCTGTGGGGAAGATTCCATGGTTCACAGCCTTCTATGGAGTACCAGCTTTCTTCCAAGATGTTTTATTTGTGTCATATTTGCATTATTTGAAGCATTACCAGGTCCGCCACGGTAGAGCAGTAGTTAGTGTGCTCGGCTGCTGGCCCGGAGGTTGTCGGGTTCGATCCTGGCCGTGGCAGTCGCATTTCGGTGGAAGCGAAGCGGTAGAGGCATGTGCACTGTGCGATGTCAGTGCACATTAAAGAACACCAGATGGCCGAAATTTCTGGAGCCCTCCACTACGGTGTCTCTCACATCCATATCGTGGTTTGGGACGTTAAACCCCACATATTATTAATATTGGAACATTAGCAGTATACATTCAACTGGCGAGCTTGCCATTATAAAGCTGTTAACAGTTGCCCACATGTTTGTTGCACGACAGCATGTGGGCAATTGTGTTTGTGTGCTCCATGAGCGCGGTTCTTTGAAGATCCCACAAGCAAGAGCTGCTGTTAGTGGCTATTCATAATGATGTATGAATGATGATGGATGCATGAATGGATTAATTTCCTGAACCTGGCACTCAAAGTTGTTCACACATTAATGCTGCACACAGTGGAACTTGAAGGTAACCATCAGTGTTCTTGGCACCATTTATGATGACTTTACAACCCCACATTCACAACACAAGATGCTAAACAAGCAAGCTGGATGAAACCACAACACAGAACGTCAGGCAAATGCGCTACGTAGTATAAGTCTATTTGCTCGGTACATTATGGCGTAATTGGTACATTAGAAAGATTACAACACATGCAGCCAGAGGTAGAGTGAAGAAGAAACAAGATGTAACGCAAATTCAACGGTGCGTATTTGTCCTTCTTCACTCTGTCCATGTCTGTGTGTGCTGTTCTCCTTGCAAATCTCTTTTGAGATTTGCTATCAACTGACCTACCGAACAATTTATACAAACTTCAATTAATGCTTTTTTACTGTCAGTCTGCACTTTTGCAAGATAAGCCGGTAAGAAGCCTATGCTATCTGTCTTGTATAGAATCGTGAGAACTCGCTCAATATGAATGCCGACATGCCGCAGCTGGTGAATGTTGAACCGTTGCCAGTCGTAAGAAGTGCACCTACTCACCGCGAGAGCATTGTGAGAGCCCAGCCATCGACAGCAATGTCCTGAGTAGCCGCTAGGAAGTTTAGCGACAGGAAGATGACTGTCAGCAAAAGAACGTTGGGCTCTGCATTGCTAATTCCTTCCTCGTCGCCCAGCAGGAACCGCACGTGCGATGAGAGCCAAAAGAAAGAAAGACCGATGGCATACTGTACAGGCACCAGCCACGACTTGCGCCGGCCAAAACGGCTCGAATACAGAGAGTCCACAATGGGGGCCCACAGAAGCTTCACGCTGAACGGCCATGTCACAAAGCTGAACAGGGCTTGCTCCTGCAAGACATGAGATGGTGTACCACATTTCACTTCAAATAATCTGAAAGATTTTAATAGGCAGAATTATAGATGCAATTTCACTGGTTACAAACATGGATGGTACCTGGAAACAAGTTGCCTCTCTGTAAAGGAAGATCATCTGGTAAGCGCTTGGCTTGGGCAATTTTCAAAACGCCGGCACCCAAGTGTCAAGACTTCAGGAACACATGATCTACTCTGCGACAGTTTATTCTTGAATTCAGTGCATGTGAATTCTTGTGCTGTTACCAGCTGAAAGATGCTAGCACCCATGTGGAAGTTTCCATTTTCTACTTTCGCATTCATCTGTCCAGTATAAAACAGTCAAAGTTATGGAATATGGATACAAAAAATTTATCAAATCTAGTTAAGTAAACCCAAAATTTTTGCTGGTAGTATCAGCATATACAATCAATGTACACAAAATGAGTGGCATTTTCATGTTGACTGCAACTTTCATGGAACACTGCATTGTCCTTTAGCAAACACAAACTATGCCAACAACTTACGGAAGGGAGGTTGGTGCTTGGCAGTGGTGTCGATCATGTGGGGTGCTACAATGTACATTGTCAAAGTCCATGATGTTGTCAAATTATGTAATGGCAGCATTGCAAACCAACAGGAGAGATGTTAGCGAGGCTGTAGCTCTGGACCAATCAGAGCTGACAAGATGGAAGTAATCAGAGAAGCTGCAACAGTTCTGGAGCATTTGAAGAAGCCATAGTAGCCTTCTGGGTTAACCGAAGTTGACAAGATGGTGGATTCGAAAATGTCCAGTTAAGACCCACGTATTAGAAGCACATACTTGCAATTAAAAGGGCCAACAAGAAGCCAGAACTTGTGATTAGATCCCGGTGGAATTTAAAAGACTGTCAGTTACTGTGGCACATTCAAGTGTCTTTCTTGCAATCTGAGTGCTATATTTTTAAACCGCATTTAACTGTCACAGAAAACCGGTATGTCATGCAGCCTAATGAAAAAGCCTTGAAGCTGGGTTATGGAGCCACTTTGCTGTAAATAATCTGATGTTTTTCATGCGCTCTATAACTAGTGCTACAAGTTACAGAATGTATGTTATTATCCATCCCTGCTCTCTTCTGTTCTCCTTACGCGGTAAAACCAGTTGCACACTAACAAGCAGCGCTACCTTCGTGGCATTAATGAAACATGTCAAGCTGCAGCACATGCACCACAAAGTGCCCTGCACGAACGCGAATCACTCGCACTAACCGCAGACTGTTTGCAGCATGTGTTTTGTGTATAGAACTTCACAGTTGCCACAGATAAACAAATATATATCATATGTGCTTTCACAGTGTTACTATTCCATGATTAGATACTTTGACCAATAAGATCTTTGTTGCGCAAAGAGAACGTGAACTATAAATGTAAAATTGGTCATAGGCGCTTTTAGGGGCAGGGAAGAAAATTCCCACACATACTTCTGGACTGGTGACCCACCTTGTAGCTGACATGCCTGTTCTGGAGCAACAGTGGCACGGCTGATCCAAGACCGAGGGGGATGCCCTGGAGCACATACAAAAACAGCAGGAGTGCGATGCTACGCCACTCGTCCCGCACGCTACCAGTGTGGTCTTTATCGCTGTGGCTACCATCTCCACTTGCCCGGCCATCCTCTAGCAGAGGGTTCTTGCTCGAAGCCAGGGTGGTGTCTCTGCTGGAATCTTGGGGTTCGTTGGTGGGACGCTTCCGCGCCTCCATGTCACGTGGTGGCGGGCTTCTGTATTCGAAAATGAAACACAGCACTTTCATTATTGCTGATACACAGCAAGTAGTTATTGAATACAAATTGGCTTGATTATCAACATTGCATGGTCGACACGCAGTGACAATGGTGTCGTTTGGTTTGGATAACGGGGCAATAAACATAAACCATATGCTATGTACATGCACGACTGTAACTAAACTTAACAAATTACAAGGCTGATATTTAGAAAAGAAAACAAGAACTGTAGAATGATTGCAGCACAGCTGCACGACCAAATTATTCTGGAATGTCTGCATGACGAGTCATTAAACCATGCACATATGGAGCGAAATGTCCCGAATAAATCTTTGATGTTTTTCAGGACATGAGGTTAATAACCTCTACACGTGTTGCAATGAGGGCTTAATGACACGGCAGCTTACACAGCAGTGTAATAAAACGAGTACACGCGACATAGCGTTGTGTGTGTTGATGTGCTTCAGTCGCCTGTGTTCGCGATTGTGTGCTAGCTTAAGTTCAAGGAATAGACTTCGATTATGAATATTGATGCAGGTCTCTCGTATGCTGCGCTTCCTACAGCGAAACCGTCAGTGGTTGTACGAAGACGTTCCGAACAAAAAAAAAAAAAACTTTTTGTAGCCGTCGAAAGCAGGCGAGTAGCGGCATTACACAAATGTGCACTTTCACACAGTACGTGTGTACTCCAAGAAGTGCCGCATCGATAAACCCACTGCGATCGAAATAGTCAAGCCAAAGACTTGCGTACATATGGCAGACAAGATACGACCTTCGGCTCAATAGAATCTTTTCATGTGCATGGCGCGAAAGTAGCTTAGGTGTGCAGTTACGAGAGTGGCGTTACTTGCACGTGAAGTCGCATGTATTACCTAAGGATCACGGGCACGCGCTGATTTTTAGACGTCATAAAACATACCGGCAGGCTCGGAAAAAAGTGGACGTGTAAAATATCCCGACAAATTCCACACCGGACAGCACAGGTGTCGCATTCAACGGACTGCGAGCAGCTGCGCTTGCATCAATCAAACGTCGCGTAGTGCACGTCACACGCGCCCACCAAACGTCGCGTTGCAAAAAGTGTCGTGAACACCTTACGTCCTACCGGCGTGTGTCCATCGGAGTATCGCGCGGGGTCGCTCGTATTCGACGCTAATCGATGAAAGACACGGCCACAGAACACCTAACCCAGCACCATTTCCACTGGCTCCTTGAAACTACAGTTTGGGCCACGGCGTGGTTTTCATGGCTGATCACGCGAAGCTCCGTCCTAAATATCTCACGGATCCAAAGACACGATTCCAACTTAGCGCATCTTACCTCTGAATTCAGGCTAACCTGTGTCATTCATTTAGTGCCGTACAGAATGATTGCAGCCACTGATTGCAGCAGACGCTCCCGGCGGAGCTCGCACATACGTGTCTCAATAATAACGTTATTACTTTTAAATTTTGCCGCTAGTGGCGCTACATTTCACACAACCGCTAACATTCTTTCTCTATGACCGCTAATGCACAAGACATTCATTATAAAAAGTTTACAAAGTGATGCTGTAATACAAAAAATGACTTTTTATTTGATAATCTTTGGTGCATCAAGTCTGCAAATGTTTGATAGTGAAGAACACTAGCTAAAAATTACTTGCATAGAGAGCGTTACCGCACGTCGGCTTTGTTACTAATAGATGTTCAAAACATGGCGATCACGACAAAACATAACATGATTATTTTAGTGCAAAAACGCAAATTGTTTAAGGTTCACTTCTTAAGTGCTTTACAAATATTACAAATAAACTAAAAAAATAGATATATAAATGGATGTATGTGGCTGTACCCTTTAGTTTGGGCGGCGGCTAACGCCACCTATCCGTAATAATGAACTAATTACTAAATTTATCTTTTTTTTCTTTTAAATAATAAAGTTGGACGGGTACTTTGCAGTGAAGAGTTTAATTGTCACTCGTGCCTTGACTTTAGCCACCAATCAGATAACCTTCTTCTAGTTAAGTCTACCCGCTTAAAGTCTATTGTCCCTAAACTCCAGTGCTTTGAAAAACTCTGCGCCATCATCCCGAACTATAGGGTGAAGCCCTTTACAAAAAATTATCAAGTGTTCGGCAGTTTCTTCTTCCTCTCCACACGCACTGCCCCTTATATATATATAAGGATTGTAGCGCCCTCACAGTCAGCCGCTGTCTGCATGGCTGTCTGTCTACCTATCTTACAATACCGAGTGACCGGACAGGCATTGCAAGTTCAAAGGTGGCCTTCAGATGCTATGCGCAGGGTGTTTCCGCTTCCGTTTCTGGTACAACCCAGCATGGCGGCGGTGGAATTTCTGCTTTGACTCATTGGCGAGTGCTTGTGCAGCAAGATTGGCGAGATGCCTGAACGGTTGAAGGCTGTGAAATCGCGGACGCGCTGTCCGCGACGTTAGTTGGGGCCCAAGTTCGTGAAAATCGCGATCCTCTATGAGCAAGTCGCCGCGCGCTTCTCCCGCGAGTTGACCACCGCACAGGACATCGTCGATCTGGCGAATTAATTCGGCCTCCAACATGACTGACGGCGAAGGCAACGAAATTCGTGTCAAGACGGCCTACAATGGGTGAGACGACGGAGCGTGTTCTTTCCCACTCTTTGGTTTATCATTGTCTTTACGCAAGGTTCGTTGTTTTTCGCTTAAAAAGCAACCCTCCTCGTATCTCTAGGCTGGTCATCGTGATGACCGTTGACACACGCAATCTTCCAACATTTTCGAGTGTCGAACGTCGTATTTCGGAGTTTTTTCCATGCTGTAACCGCGTATTTTGCTCGCCTCTTTGACGTATTCATGAGCTGTGGGCGATCGTTGTTTGAGTTTCTTGTTTCAAGAGAGAAAGACGTGCTCCCTGTAGGGCTTAATCGAAGTCGCGGCTTCTGTCATTTTGCCTGTTTTTTTTTTTTCCCTTTTCTTTTTCTCGTCGGGCTCCTGTCACGCTATGCACAGGCGCTCTCGCTCGCCCGTGCGAGTCAATCCGCGGGCTTCTTTCTACTTATTCTCCACGCACGCAGTGAACGTCTCGCTGACGGCAGCAGCCGGACTCGCTCGTGTGCGCTCGTAATAGACGGACGTTGATTCTCCTTTCTTTCTCTCGCATATTTTTTCTCCGGCTGGACTACGATCGTCCCCCTTCGCGCGGCAATTAAGGACGGCTGACCTCGAAAAAGTGTCGCGCCGTTCGCTGGCTCGCGCGCGCTGTTGCTTCTACAACGTTATGTGGTTATGTCATTCGCAGCACCATTCTTACGCCGTTCCGCCCTCGCATTAAACGCTGCCGCTAGCGCCCGAAAAAAAAAAAAATTCTGCATTTCACAACACCACCTTCGCGTGCATTGCTCGGCACTCAACGGCGATACCGCAGTGCTATCACGCGGGCGACGACAGTCCGCCGATTGTTTTTCAAACTCTCTCTCTCTCACAATCCTGGCGTGCTTTGCAGTGTTCCCTTGGCGTACCGTGCATGCGTTCCGCGGCGAGCGAGTTGGCAGCCCTTGCGTGACGCGACGACGGCGCTACCCGTTCTTTTATTTTCCTTTTCTGGGTTTCGACGCGCGCTCGGCGTGTTTGTGAAAATGGAATTCGTTCCGGTCACGGCCCCAACCGTTGTTCATTGTGTTTGCAGCAGCAGCGGTGGCCACCGCCGCTCCGCAACGCGCAGCTGCCGCTGCTCGTAACGGTCCTTCGGCTAAAAGAGAGCCTCCGCCGCTCCTTGATCGTCTGCTACCTTAATCGTCTGCTACCTCGATCGTCTTCCCGCAGTGCCCCGTCTCATCCGACCTCTTTGCTTTCTTCGTTTCTTCTCGCCTTGCCGATCTAACGCACTTCTTTATTCCGGCCCACACACACCGACTCCTGTACGAGCAACGCCTGCAGAGAGACCCGCTGTCGGCGAGGAAAAAAAAAAAAAGTGAACAGAAACACGGCTCGTTCATCGCAGCCAGTGTGCGTGCACCTTACCGTTTTCATCTTTGCAATTTTATTCGTAGCTGCGGCGCTGAAGAAGTGTTTCGGCGTCCGGTTATCGAACAGGTCCGAGCTACGCCCTTTTGAGTGCCTTGCGTGGGCGTTGCATGAATAAGCGCGCGCGCTCACGCCCCGATATCGGCCGCGGCGAAGCCGGGTTTTCGCGTCCTGTGTAACGGCTTTATTTAAACATTCGCAGCTTTGTTTCTCGGGATACGTTCGAGCCGAGTTCCGCGTCTTTTGCGCGGGCAGTGTCCGCTGGAATAACGGGGAACAGTTGTGTACAACGATTATTATTTTGTTTTAGAAGCGTATTGATTTACGCGAGTTGGTGGCAGTTAGTTATAAATTCGCGCATAACATATTTATGAAGAAAAAAAAAAGGACGACATACAAAAGGTTGGACGTACACAAGTTTTCCTGAACTCCCAAATGCTTTTTTTTTTGTTTTAGGTTGTACGAAAGTAACCATTCATCATCATTTTCGTTTGTTTAATTTCAAATAGTGTCAGTAGTGAAATTCATATCTTTATGCGTAGTTAAAATCGCGCTACTCCCCATTTATGCCACAGTAGCTTCGGCCAATGCCTTCATACTTGCCTCTGTGTGAAACCATGCAAACGCGAGAAAACTGGCAGAACCAAAGCCATGTCAGTTATCACAGATTTGCATAGCCAGTATTACAGTAGTAAGTAGTATTACAGAATCTGGGCAAATTTGGCACACTTGAGCATGCTTCTGATTCTGTGTTGTGCAAATGTGTAACAATGACTTTTGATTTGGCTTGAAGCGAGGAAGTTATGTGTCAGTGTTTTGAAATGACAGTAACGTGAAGTAAATTGCATGGAACATAGAAGATTACACATCTTTCTTTTCTGTTGAAGGAAACATTTCATTTGGTGTCACTTTAATCATGCATGAGAAGAAAATGTGCCATTGTGCATTAGATGGACCTGTAAAGTGCAAAAATCCAATTGTCTACAAAGAAAAAAAAAGTTCAGAAGGTATTTTGGGTTGCATTTTATTGAAAACATCAACTTGCAAGAAAGACACATGTGCACGGTTTTAAACCTTTGTTTCATGTTATTTCAGCCCTCGTGGTTGATGTATACACGTATATAAAAAATGTTATTTGAATTATGAGGACATATAGGCCATATATTGTACGTGCAAAAGCTGACAAATCACTTGTGGTTCCTTCTGTGGGCTAAAAGCGTTTGCTGCTGAAAATTTAATTGGATGAGGTGCACATTTTATTGCATTGAAATCATGCCTCGAGCAGTGCGGACACCAAAACACATTTGACATTTGTTTTTCTGATAATGGTGCATGTCTTATCACCGATTATTGGCTCAGAGCAGGGTATGGCAAGTTGGAGTGGCCGATTTTTTATAAGTCGTCTCTACAATTGTGTTTTATCTGTCAAGCTCCATACACTCTATATCTGTGTGTCATACTAGGCCGACTGTGCACACATCCTTACACTTTCGCTATTTTCATGACACACAGGCGACTATCGTCGTGACAAATGGCAGTGTCCCACATCTTCGCTGAGTAGTCGACATCGCCCGGGGTTGCCAGCAGGTCAAAAGCCGAGTATCAATCACTCGCAGCTGCAACTTCTGTGGGTCGAAGCGACTCGGACCCCCGCTGCAGTTTACCATTCGATGAAAGTACACAAATCATGACCTTTGTAGTTTACCATTCGATGAAAGTACACAAATCATGACCTTTGTAAATAAAAAAAGCAGATACCTAAAATACGGATGCAAGTTAGTGCTTTCTGGTCCTTTGTTAAGCACTGCGAGCTTCTGTCTCTTGAATACGTTCGTAATCATTGTCCAAGAAACTAGTGATAGTTTCTGTATCAGTGGTAGTTTTCTGTATCATTTCCTTAAATTTCTGTCTTGGTTTTTGTCTTTTTTGCCTCGCTTATCTTTGCATTGCTCATTTTCGTCACATGGTTTACTGTCTCCTTTATATGTTCTCGCACACTGCACAATAAACACAGTTGGAAGTTAGCGCTCGTCTTCATTTCCCTTTGTCGTCATTCTGAGCTGGTGCTATAATAATCGTCACGACCAACCAACTAGCCCGAACCGCCACACTTCCCAGGAAAGGACAGTTTTCAGTATTTTAATGTGACAGTTTGTTGACACGTAGGACCGCTAGCTTTCTCAGAAGTCGTTTGTACAGCCTTTCGCCGAAATGTCTGCCTCGTATCCTTTCACCAAAGCGAAACTCCAGTTTGTCCATAGAGGTATTACTGTTCCTGAAATGCCACAGAAGTGCAGAGCAGCAACACTTTGATTGTACTTAACTCACACATTGGCCGTAAACGTTTAATAAAATTAAAAACACGCTTTGCAGGGAGATCATGGTCATGTACATCGACCCATCCATCGCCCTCGAAAAGCTCTGCAAAGAGATGCGCGACATCTGCAAATTCAACGAGGAGCAGCCATTCACCATGAAGTGGGTCGACGAAGAAGGTACGTTGTCACAACCCCATTGCTGCGAGTCCCGGATAGTGAAAAAACATCGACCTGTAAGCTGGGGCTTTTAGAATCTTGTAGATGTGACCACTCTTTCTTGCTGCCAATCGCGAAGCTGCAAATTCAGTGTGGCTTTGACTAGAGACATGATAGTGCACTTGCGCACCACAGCATGCACACAGGGATAGTATAGTGTAAGATTTCTTTTTGTTCATTCAACTAGTGGGGAGTAAACTCATCAACTAATGCTGTTTTCTTTTTGTTTGTGTGTGTGCGCATGCATATGTACATGTGCACGCATGTGTGTGTGAGAAAGAGGAACTCTGGTAATGACTGTTGGAAGGTAAGCATAGTGTAAACGTATTCAAGAAGCATTTTGACGCATGTTTATGTAGGAAGCTTACCTTGTTTTTTGCTCGATATTTTTTTAATTATTTCTTCATCTTGGGAAAAACTGCTAAAGTGAAGTTTTTTCTTTTTTACTGGAGTCATGAGAGGTATATTGATTTCTGGTCTAATATAACAACATGTTAAAGTTTTGACTGTGAGTGAAGGCTGCAAATGTGATCTTCCCTGATTTCATGAATACAAGAAACTTTTCCAGATTAACTAGAAGAAAAGCAGCCCTGTGCTCTGCAGCTTACCGTGATATGTTGTGCATTGCCTGTAAAAGAAAGCCTAGTGTTAGTGTCATGAAAGAATTGAACAGCAAGATAACAGAAAGACAGCACTAAAGCACATTTGTTTTTAATAAACTGCACAGGGGAAAAAAAATTCTAAAAGTACAGAGTACTGACTGTTTGGTTGTTTTGCGGTCTGTTGTATAAGCGGACCACCATTTGAAGCTGCACGAGAAATGGCATTTATATTTGCAAGAGAAGAGCTGTCATCTGAAAAATGACACATGCCGCTTACACGGCCGTGCCTGCTTTGTTTAGCTTTTTTTTTCTTTTATTTCCGTTCTCAGACCACATTGTTCATTCTACTTGTCCTCGCCTTGCGTTGCAGCGGTGTTGCATGACCTATTTTGTTCTGTTCGTACCGAGCAGCTGCAGCAGCTGCGCATTGTGTCGTCAAAGGGAATAGACAGGCCTTCCCGCCCTGCGCGGTTTCACTCTCCACTCTGGTAACACCTGCTCGGAGCCCTGAATCGCAGTGTGCCCAGCACGGCATAGTCTAGACACATGATCTGTTGCAGTGTTTCGAGTGACGTGAATGCTGCCTAATGAGCCGTGTCACATTGGGAAAGGAGGTGAAGGAATCTGTTGCGCAGTGTGCCTAGCGTTGCAGCTTTCCAGGCTGCGTTAGGCCTGGATGCAACGCGGGGGCCTTGTTCAAACGTACCTAGCTTCCTACAAGCTTTATTCTCTGTCGATTTGCTTCTTTTCTTGCTTTTATATCATTTCTTTGGCTGTGCAAACTGAGCTATGAAATATCGTCATCGGATTCGCATTTGTAAACACCCAATTGCAGCCTCCTTTGACTGAGTAATAGGGCACTTAACAAGTATAATACATAGGTGTTTGCTGTCGCTCTACGTCATATTCTTTACTCTTTACAATGTTCTTTTTTCTTTGTTGCCTTTTGATTAATTGCTGTGTACAAAACTGGCATGAGGATCTGAAAGGTTATGGATCATTGTAATCATCTCTCTTATTTTGTGGCATTCTTTCCTTGCTTGCAATCACGTTCACTTTAGCTGTTTCCTAAGCTCTCTTATCCTATCAGGCTTGTGGTTTTGGGAGTCATTGATAGTGCGAGTAATTTATATTGGGAGCTGTTGACTTATAAGCCGATTATTAGTGGGGCTGTTGTTCTTTCGTTTTGAAGTTATACGGCATCAAATTTGATTGAGGTATGTTCACTGGTCCATGATGTAGGTCGGAGCACACTGTGAACTGCGGCTGAATCATTTAGCTTAAATTTTGGTGTGTCTTGCCTAGAGTCACTGCTAGCTTTTATGCAAATAAAACCAGTAGTATGGTCACTTATTCGTATGAAACTTCGAGTTGAAGGCGAGATGTGTAAGGTAAACCAAACTGACTTGTAGCATAGTTATATATATATATATATATATTTCCCTTCTGGTTCGTGAAAGGAAAAATGGCATGCTCTTGCTTCCTTTTTTTGTAGGTGATCCATGCACCATATCATCACAGGAGGAACTGAACGAAGCCATCCGCCTTTACGAAGTCAACAAGGACTCGGAGCTCACCATACACGGTTGTTTGAGAAGCTGCATTACATTGCAGTTACTTCTTGCACAGGATTTATTTATTTCGTTCTTTTGGTTTCTCATTGCACATTAATCGTTTCGTGTCACGCAGTTTTTCCTAATGTCCCCGTGGCTCCTGGTATGCCCTGTGCTGGAGAGGATAGTAAGTTGGACGTTATCATTTTCACGTAACCATATCTCACATCACGGTATACAGTCATAGACAAAAATAAATGGTAACAAGAAATCGTAAAGCAGTGCAGCTTTCTTATGTTGTGTCCCGAGAACACAGTTTTGCATTGATGATCACAAAAGACTGCTCAAAATATTGTTCGATCTCCATGCGTAGGCAAGGTGAAACTGTATTGATCTTAGGTGTACCAGTGAAAACAAAAATGAATTCAAAGTAGAAACTTGAATAGCTCCTGAACTTGTATAAAACCTGCACTCTCGCCAAGTATTGGCAGATCTTGACCGTATAAAATTCTACTGTAAGGCTCTGCCGGACAGCTTATGTTGGCTGCTGGTGCAAAATTGTTTTTCTGATTGAAGCTGTTCCTGTGATTTCACCGGCATTCATCTCGGGTACGGTGGGAAAAATGGAAATTTTCTGCACCACTTACCATTGGCCAAATAGTTTCTGAGAGCACACTTACGTTTTTCTAGACCGCCCGCTCGTAAGGCTGTCTTGAATGTCCCTGAGGATCCTGTTGTTGTTTACGCGTTTCAGAGAGCATCTACAGAAGAGGGGCTCGACGGTGGCGCAAGCTTTATCGTGTCAACGGCCACATCTTCCAGGCGAAGCGTTTCAACCGGGTATGAAGCTGTCCCACCACTTCTCTGTCGGGAGGGAGAGACATGGCTTGCGTGTGATGGCACTTTTTTTTTTTCGTTGGGGCGAGATAACGCTGTTTGCACTTCTCGCCTCTTTAGTACACGTAAGAAAAGACACATGGAAGGAGCTTTTGCGTACCTTGCGGTTGTCATCAATTCTCTCGTCTCTCGCAGTCCACCATCTCACTCAACGGAGCCTTACTGCGAAGCTCAGTGTTAAAGGGAAGGGCAGAAGTGGGGGGGCTCTCTTATCTCGGTTGAGGTTCCTTTCCCGATTGAGCGTCGGTTCGTGACGAGCTGGCTCCGTGCACGACTCCCACAGACTTTGCTTTTGTTTGGCATGCGTGGTGATTGTCGGTGTACGTCATGATACTGATCGAGCTGATAGTGAGTGATAACAGCCTCCTTGTCTTTGTCGGGGATGCCTTTTACCGTTGCTGCCTTTTGTCACTGTTCTCAGCTCCTCCTAAACATTTTTTTCTGTGGTAGAAGAAAGTGAAATACTCGTTACTCGATTTTGATGCACCTCATTTAATTTTATGTCGCACAGTTTTGGGGGGTAAGAACATGAGCTGGCAGTTCTTGGGAGTTCAGAGATTGATCCTGCAGAAAAATGTTCGGCTGCTTTTGCTTTGCAATTCATTCTTGTTGTGACCTTTTATGTTTATCTGTCAGGCAGCTGTATGCTGTTAGATTTTGTTAAGTCAACACTGCACAGCTGTTGTGTGGAGGATATTCAAAGGAGAAAGTTGTGTTTCTAAGAAAGTTGTGTTTCTACACCTCTGTTGCATGACTATCCACTCTTCGTTATTGCAGAGTACTTAGTAAAGATAACCGTGTTGCAAAACAGCAAGGTTACCTATATGTAAAAACAACGTTCTCGGCCACGTTTTATCAATTTTGTTCTCCTATGCGGGCAGCGTGTTCGGTTAGTCATGCGAGTTTTCCGCAAAATTTTGCTGCATTGTGGATGTCTGCTCAACTGAGTGGAAACTGAATCGTGCAAATCAACTGGAACATTGTTTATGCATTTTCAAGTACTCCAAAGACGAAACATCTTTGACAAGTAGAAGTTGGACTGACATAAGCACTCATTGGTTTGATTTCATTCAACGACATTCATGAGGAATCATTTAATGCCGATTGTTGCTAAAGCCCATGTTTGATGAAGAAGCTTCTTTTCGTTATTTCTATGTAAATTTTGTATATGTATTGCTGATTTCATTCAAAAATGTTACGTTAAATGTAATGTTGGGAGGGAGGTTCGCTCATGGTATTTCCTATACATGACATAACTACTAACTCGGTTGTTATAAACGCTTTTGTCTATCTGCCTCTTTCCTTGAATGAAAGAAGATGAATGTAAGGGCCCATTTTATTAATTAGACAACCCCATAATGAAAATTAATAGTCTATAAAGCCAAGGAAGGTATAGGGGTTGGTATTTGTATCTTTCAACTTTATTCTAATTACTATACGAGTGTGAAGAAATGAAAGTGGATGAAACGACAACGTGCCGCTGGAGGGATGGAATCTGCTGCCTTTGGATGACAAGTCCAATGCTCTATCATTTGGCTACAGCAGCGGTCATCCTCCTGTCCACAGTGTTTACATGCATTTCTATGCATGTAAACCTGAAAGTGTGAGTCAGGGCTATTCGTAGCCATGATGGCGAGTTTGGAACATTTGTTTTTTGCTGGAATCTCTGAGCACGTGATCTTTTTTACAAACTACCAGCCAAACAATTTATTGCAAAGACCTCCCTCCTTGTACTGAATGTTTTGTATTAGCAGTACTTGAAAATGCATCTGCTAGACCAGTGGTTCTCAGCCATGGATGTGTCGGGGACCTCTTGAGGACTGGTGGAATGGATGGGGGACCGCTTGCAGCGGAGAGGAGGAAGTGGGCGTACGTAGGTAAATAACACAACTGGACCGTGAAACGGGTGCGTTTTATTGCTATTAAAAACGTCAAACGAACATGCCACATCACTTCATTTTTGACAGTTCATCAATACGTGGTCTAGTCACGCTTAAAGAAAAAATTTGGGTGAGGGTTTCGGGGATCATAGAAATGGCTTCGCGGACCCCCATTTGAGAACCACTGTGCTAGACTATGGGGTCATTCACATATGTCTCACGAGTCCGCAATATTTCTTGCTAGACTTTTGCACTGAGCAGCGTGCCTTGAAGCAGCGCCCCCTCGCTTATGTTTCTGTTGCAGCGTGCGTTCTGCACCTTCTGCCTGGACCGCATCTGGGGGCTGGGCAGGCAGGGCTTCAAGTGCATCAACTGCAAACTCATGGTGCACAAGAAGTGTCACAAGCTCATCAAGCTGGCTTGCTCGGGACCTCTCGTGAGTTTTTCGCGCCCATTTGCCTCGTTGCGTTAACAGGATTTTATGAATGTGCACCTGCAAGGAAGTTTCACTTGTGTTGCGTCAACTAAGCGTCATTAAAAGAGCATGTGTGACGGAGAAGTGCTTATTTGAAAGGGCCACGTCAGCGGGGTTCAGCAAAACACTCGGTGCACGACCTTCATCCTTGCCAAGGCTCTCTGCATGTGTTTGAGCTGTTGTGTGTGTATGTGCTGCCACATGACTGCCAAACACAGTTTTATCAGTGGTAATGGTCGCCTGACTTACCATTTGAAGCCACACTGCAGCATTCACCTAGCAGCTGGGTGGCCACAATATGTAATTAATCATTTGGGGTAATTAAAAATATCAAGCTTTTATACCATAACTGCATAATCTGTAGCTATCTAAAGTATTTAAGCATGCAAGTTATACTAGTTGTTTTTATTTGTTTGCATCAGTACTTGTTTAAAGCTTCCCAGTGTACTGTGCTATCATACAATATGAAGTACTGATGTTCAGTACACAGAGTGTTGTAAAAAACTCGTGATGCGAGCCGCCAGAATGTCCTTCCAGAAAAATGACCAGGACCAGTTTGCTGAGTCGTCTGCCCCCACCACGCCAGCACCATCGAGGACGAGCGACACAACAAATGGGGGCGAGGTCAACGGTACGAGTTTGACCAGAGGTATAGTCTTGCCTCTTATTGCCCCACATTCATTACCACGCTCACTGATAATCTTTAAAATCATGAAATCTAAGAGAAAGTATGAATCGAGTTGGTGTAGCATGTAGTTCAGTCATTAGTCAATATCTGCCATCTTTTATCATGTTATCATACCTGTTTCTAGAGCTTGTTGCATTATTGTTGTACATAGTCATACCAACAACTTTGTAACCCCTAATTTCTTCAAAGTAAAAGACAGAACAGACTTGTAAAGAGCGCAGTCGCCAGCCAATGCTTCATTCATGCTGTTGCAGGCTTGCCTGATTATTTAGATATAACAGTGGCTGCAGTGTTCGCTCCTTAAAATGAATGCAAAATTGTATTTAGTACCAGTATATGAACATGCATGGAAAGCTTCATTAATACTTCTTCTGTTGTTTAACCTATGGTGCAATGTCACATGGCAACTATTCACATGATAACGAATTTTAAAATTAACATATCTGCAGTGAGTATGCACAATGTGTACATAACATCATATCATGCACATCATATCGGTGTGATGATGTCTATGTAATAGAATCACAGCACACCATGTCTATGCAATAGAAGGACATTTGAGGTTACACTGTCATGAATATTTTGTTGTAAAAAAAGAAGTCTTCAATGGTAATTATGAAGCTAGTTATGCAGAACACCCAAAAATGTCAAAACAATGCTAATTAGTGGTTGAGCAACCAAGGTTATGTGGTTAACCTTTTAAGTAAGTGCTTTACAATACATATTACAATTTACCAATGTAGGCTGTGAGTTTCCATTGCAAATCAATTAAATCTGAAGCGAGTGCGGAATGCATGGTATTGACCATTAAACTTGTGGGAAAAATGCACTCTTGTTCTGCATAATTTTCTAAGAAAACATTGTCTTGCGCATTGAAGCAGAAGAATAACTTCAATGTCCCATTTATGTTATTGCACATTTTTGGTATAAATACTATCTCAAAACTAGTGCATCCTGAAAATTGGTTCAGAATTGAGACTGCTTGCGAGTTCACCCGCTGGAGTCTGTCACTACTTATATGTGTCGCAAGGTAATCATTTGCAAATGTTAAGTACCTAATTGCTAATTAATGTAATTTTAACATCTGTTGTCTTCTGCTGCTTTTGAATGTTTATTTTTGGAGTAATTTTTCTCGATTTTCAGTGAAAAGTGAGCTTTTAAGAATTTTGATCAGTGTTACCTGAAGCAGTCTCTTTACACACTGAATCATGTGTTGAAAATATCTAAGGATATTTTTTTTTTTAATTAGCATTTTCACCGTGTGGAACAATTATTGTAAATCTTGGGGTAAGGTTTGGATGGTGTTTCTAGAATTTTGAAGTCAGCAGGCATGCCCTTAGATATATTTGAAACATTGCCATCAGCAATGTCTCAGGACAAGTTTGTCAAACAAGGAATGCTGCTTCAACCAATGTTTTAGTGAGAGAACTTGTCTTCGTCTCTAGACAGTGACATTCGTTGTTCAACGATTTCTTATCACTTCATGCCTCTATCATTTTCTGAACCAAGGTCTTGTTTCGAATCATAGGAAGCCACACTATGTGGGATCAGTGTTTACTGATGTACACTGTTCTTGTTCTATCTTGTATCTAGCTGGAACTCCAAGGCACAAGACTCATCACAGGGCAGGCTCGGCCATTGAGACAACCACTGACTCTGCCGCCGGCCAGCTGGGCCAAGAAATTGATGACCAAGTTTTGGGAGGCGTAAGTGCTGTGCGTTCAGGTTTTGCAGCAGTTATTCCTGTAAAAGCTTTGTAGCTAAGTTTGTAGCATTGTTTTAGGAAGTTTCTATAGTGTACAGGGCAGTTATAGTGAATGCTCGTTTGTTACACATATAGCAAAGTTGACCATAAGGTCATCAGTTTTATGCACTTCATGATTCACGTCACAGATGTCACAAACTTGTTGCATTTCTGGGCTCCTTTAGAGTAAATGTAGCGTCATGGCTATGGAGCAGATGAAGGCAGCTGAGGTAGAAATAAATTTAATTCTAATGTAGTACTATATGACTGTACGAAACGGCATTGCTGCACTGTTGAAGCACAGCCGAGGGCTGCTGATATCTGTTGGAATAAATTTGCCAACATGTTGTAAGGAAGCCGATGTCACGAAATCATTTGCTGATGAAGTCATCATCTGGGAATTCTGAGGTTTTTCAAGCCAAGAATGGACGATTTGCAAGGCAGCTTTCCTTGAAGGTTTATTTTTTTCTAACCAAGCACTTTCATTTCCTGACAACCTTTTCTCCTTGTTGTAACCATAAATGCTTTTTTTATGGATGACTTCGGGATATTCATGCCTGATGTGACAAAGGAGCGGGGCACAGGCGGCCACCAATGCGCCCTGGAAGGGGAACTCTTGGGAGGCTTTTTGCTCACACAAGAACACACAATTTATTTAGATATTTATATGGGTTAAGTACACTAGGCGTCGAGACGTGCCCTTACATAAGACACGACCGGTTGTAACGAAGGCCAAAGAGGGAGTGCCCAGAGCACACGCAATGCTCCTTTTGTAGCCTCTGTCCATGCTCGTGCATCTTGTCCGACGCCGATGCGCGTTCCATATGGCGCACACAGACAAATCTCGCGTTTCTGCTGGGCGCAGATCCGCATTATGAAGGCTCGCAGATGACTGTCTCTTGCAGGGTGGACTCTTGCATTGCTAGTTATAACATGCCTGATTCTTGACACTCTGCCTATGCATGTTGAACAAGAAACCTGTCGTTCGGGGGACGTACTTTCACAGGAACTGAAAGCTGGCAAAAGTGCAAGGAGTGGGAAGGGCAGTCTGTGAATAAGAGCGCTTGGAATAAGAGTGCTGCGAATAGGAGTGCAGATATTTGCAAATTGTCCATTGGACTGCTATGAAACTAAGGAGCCTGTGAAGCCAGTAGTGCCATGGTTAAACATGTGCACTGCAGTTGAGTGCGTTGCGTTAGCAAAGCTGCTTTCCTTATGTGAGGCTCTCAGTGCTGAGTATTTCTCCACTTTGAGCGATCTGGAAGCCACTATTGTCATGTCAGCATTGAAGAAACTAAGCTTACTAATTACCCTGGAATGTAAATCATTTTGCCATTTTATTGCCTTAATATTGCTTATAACAAAAGTTCTGATATAACTGAATGCACCCTGCATCACCAGTGCATTAGTTATAAGTGAGGTTTACTGTATTACTGCTATCAAATGGCGATTGATGCTTTCTGAGCAGTGACTTTCATTGGATAACACAATAAGATATAATGTATGTACAGTGCTCACAGATTGTTAATCAACATCAAAACTTTTAGTGTAAAGACTGATATGTGCTCAAATTAATCATGTCCTCATGTACCAGCTACGAATTTAGCCACTGGAGGTTACACTGGCTCCAATGTAAGCATCTGAGTGGAAATTATGCCAGTGTGGCACATTGTGAACACAGCATAATCAGAAATATGTGCTTTGCTTAGTCCTAAATTGTTGCGTTTCAATTCGTAATTACTGTGCAAGTTCTAAGAACTGAAGGAACCTCAGCCATTTTGGAATGTGGCACCTTCTCTCCAGAACATTGATTTTTCGAGCAGTGATAGCTTACGTGGCAGCAGTCATGATGTGTGCTACGCAATACAAAACATTGGCAAAAAGCCGCACTCAATTGAAAGCCTGTCTGGTTTCTATTTAAAAGCATTGAGAAAGTTAACTCATTAGGGACAGAAACAGTACTGCTCGGGGAAGTAGTCAAGCTGGCAGATGGTGTCAGAGGTGCACACACGAGTGACTGCAGAAGTATTGTGCAGTTAGGAAGCGTGATAACTGCGCATTTTCTTGCACATGCCTGTTTCTCAGTTTTTTGTTGTGCAAGTTTAGCTTTCTTCACTGTTTCGGGGTTTTGTAAAACTTTGTGGTCCGAAGAATCGTCGATGCTCATCGCAATTTCCCTCCTTTGTTCCTTCATTGAAGCAGGTGGAATCCGGTGGCGACTCGTGTCAGTATGGTCTGAAGGACTTTGATCTGATCCGTGTGATTGGCCGTGGCTCCTACGCCAAGGTGCTTATGGTTGAGCTCAAGAAGACCAACCGGATTTACGCCATGAAAATCATCAAGAAGGAGCTTGTCACCGATGATGAGGTAGGCAGTGTTTGCAGTCGCTAAACTTTTCATTCTCAAGCTTGTTTGGGGCCTCTTTCAGACCAGCATGTGTCCGAACCCGGAGACATGCAACTGCTGTAGACGAGCGCAGCATTGCGATTGACGTAGGTTACGTAAGAAAAGCTGATCTATTATCACATATTATGGGCATGCCCCCAGGCAACCTATCGGGGTCGCACAATGACTAACGACAACCATTGGGTCCCAGATGAGCTTGGTCCGGGAAGAGAAACTCTGGGCCACTGGCCTGCCTGGCCAATGATGCGAGCACCAGTGGTTTACTGGGTGCTGTCTATGTGAGGACTAGTTCTGCCTATGCTGGCCCTTTACTGCAAGGTTACTTGCTCCTAAAGTTTGCTCTGGATGCATAAAATGCTGATGGGCCTAAAAGAGTTTGTTGTGCAGTCAGCGGTTCTCAGCAGGATCGGGAATTTTTTTTTCTCTCTATCTCTCTCTCTCGCACTGTCTTTTTTTTTTTCTTCCATAAAAGATTGCACCAAATTTTAACTTTTGGCACTATTCACTTGCATATATGTGAAGTTCTCACTATTTTTGGCTTGTTTCACTGACCTTCATTGCCATCATGCCACTTACCATGCCCTGTTCTGTTTTTTTCTTCTTTTCGTTCTTTCATTGACACTGAGCATCTCCTGGCAATGTGACAAGCATGCTGTATATGGCATTATGTTTATTTTTTTTAATATGTAAAGCAGCTTGATTCTACGCAGTTCAAAATGAGTGGCCAACTGGTTCGATCAGTTGATCGAATAAACTTGCTGTTATAGCAGCTTTATGACCTTCTGTTTCATCGTTTATGCTTACGATTAATTTAAGTGGTAATCTTTTATACACTGTGTTTCTCTGCATGCTGCTGCCAACTTGTGAGCATTTCATGTGTGTGGTGCAGGACATCGACTGGATCCAGACCGAAAAGCATGTCTTTGAAACAGCATCCAACTACCCGTTCCTCGTGGGCCTGCACTCCTGCTTCCAGACAGAAAGCAGGTCAGTCTTCAGGCTTCATTGGCTTACTTTGTGGGGTCTCGATTGGCGAGCGACACGCCACATTCTTGGAGTGAACGAACACAGCAGATGCGGTCGGTACAAACCAAACAACAACACATTTTTTTAACTACTTTTGAATGACGATATCGTCCGCCAAATTGATACATCAATCGTTATCAACACGCTAAGTCATCATTACACAAAATGACCATACACTCAAACAACATAACACAAGAGCACACAAAAGGCGGAGTCGCCAAAGCCTCATTCACCACGTGGGCCTACCGCAGGCGGCCCGCAGTGCCGTCCAAGGCAGACCCACCGCGAGGGACAACTGCTCGCGGCAACCGCCACGCGCAGAAGAGACTCGCTCAACTCTCGCCCGCCACCAAGGCTTGCCTTCCGCCAGGGGTCACCGCTCGCGTACACAACGCCACCTACCGCCCAGTAGTTGTAACCCGAAATGCGACTTTTGGGCGAGACACGTGCGCCACGCGGCGCAAACAACTTTACAGGAGGTGTCAGCACCACCACAATTTTTATGTGTGTATTAGTCATTGCATCTTCGCTATGGTGGTTGAAACGCAAGAAGAAAAAAACATAGTTGATACCTCTATCATAGGATTCTGTATAACGCAAAAGTGAAACGTGTCTCAACACAAGTAATTCAGCTTTGATAAATGCATTGATAAATTAGAGCTTGCGCAATGTCTGCTGGTGTTAGGCGGCTAAAGCACCGTTTGATGTGGGAGCACCTATATTGACACCTGGTAGCAGATCGCCATCCTGATGACCAACATCTGTAATTAAGATCAAACCTTTGTGGTAGCTGAATCAGAATAAACCCCGACATAGGGAAGGGTGAATCCTGCACAAAGATGGCATCGGCAGGCGTATTACCGTATTTACTCGATTCTACCGCGCCCTCGATTGTAACGCGCACCCGATTTCCACCGCGAAAAAAAAAAAAAAAAACGTAAGACATCGATTGCAACGCGCACCCATTTGTTTTTGCTGGCCCGCACGATCACACCACTCGAAAAAACGATTCCTTTCGGGATTGTCTTCCATTTAAATATGAGGTACGGGCGAAGCTTGTGCCCATCTGACGTGTAACAGAGCATTGCCGTCACTGTAGTTTTACCGTGGACCGATGTCAGCACGCGAACTTGCTTCGCCCCCTTCTCGACAGTTGTGGTGCCAGGCATGTCGAAGTAAAGAGGCGTCTGATCGGCATTCCAGATTTGCCCAAGCAGGTAGCCGTTGTTGCGCCGCAAGTTTAGGACGAACCTCTGAAAACTGTAAAGCTTTTCATCGTACTTCTCCGCAAAAGTTTTCGCATATGCATGTTCCCCTTCGAAGGGAAGAGCCTTTCCTCTTCATATAGTTAATTAGCCAGCACCTGCTCGCTTTAAACAGGCTCCGCATTAGACTTTTTTCTAAGACTAATTGCATAGCCCGCACTTGGAGCAGTTCTGTCATGGGCCGCTGTGCCGCTCGCTCCTCAAGCACATACTCGCGGAGCAGCTCTTCAATTTGCGGAAACCGACCCTGCTGTGGTTCACTGAAGCCTTTGCGTGAAGCTTTGCTGTCGACAATCTTCTGCTTTTGTTTCCGCCGGTCCCGCACGCACGTTTCGAGAAGGACCGCGATGCGGCCCGATTTCCGTCCGTTTCTGCACACGCGATGACTTTTCTTTTAAAAGCGGCATCGTGGTGCACTCGAGTTTTTGGAGTCGGCCCTTCCACGTCGTCGATGCTAATGCACTACTAGATGACGAACTCCTCAGCACACGTACGAAGTGTCGCACATGGTAAACACATAGGCAGAAATAGCCGACGCACCATGCCACGGAGGAAGCCTCCGTGCACCATGCCGACGCACGTAGGGGGCGGCCATCTTGGATTTGCGATGGCAATAGATTGACCGTAATTTTTTTGTTCGTACTCGATTCTAACGCGCATGCGATTTATGAACTCGCTTAACCGGAAAAAAGGTGCGCGTTAGATTCGAGTAATTACGGTATCTCTGGTACGCGATATGGCTCACAGAATTTGTCAAAATTTGTGGAGGAAAACCTCAAAGTGTGTGCTTTGTACTACAGTGGAGCCCACATATAACGGCCCCACTTAAAACAAACTTTCGCTTAAAACTAACAATATTCGCGTGACCGTGAAAATATACATTGGTTCAATGGCACAAAATCGCACTTACAACGAACGTCTCTGAGCGCTGCATATCGGTTACAGCGAACGTAGTCAGCGGTCTGCCGACTTCCCGGGGAACCAATTTTGACCACCAATCAGGCATCGGCGAGGTGCCCATACATTCTTATTGTTGAACGCCGACCCTGCCTCCGTGACCCTCTGGTTGCCGCTCTCCCCGACCGCTTTTTGTTACGCACCCCTCCGTCCTTTGTTCTCCCGCTACTCTAAGCACCCCGCATCGACAGACGAGGCCCGTGTTTTCACACTGCCACCGATCTTTCGAAGACCGGTCGACCAGCTACTCTGTTTTTGATCGCTGTGGTACTGTTGTTGGCGTCGCCGGCCTGGAGTGACCAGACCATTTGCCAACATTGTCGGCCACCGACTGTATCCGATAGTCTGCGTCTAGTCCACGTGCGTACGCTACTAAAACCGACTCTGATAATTCGCGATTCGTTTCGTGTTTAGGACTTGTTTTCGCTGACTTCGCACTCAACTCAGTATGCCTTCCGCGCGCGTGCGGAAGCGCAAAAACGGCTGTTAATTTACGCGGAACAAATCGCGAAATATCGAAGTTCGTGAGGCCACGCAAATCCACTGACGTAACGAAACGATTTTTCGACCACAGCCCCCGATTCTTCGAACACCGCCGTGTGCACTGATTCAGGCGGCTATGCACTCTTTCCAAGTTTTTCTATGTGCAAGTTTCGCGGACCTTTCAAGCAAGCTACCTAACCTGCCTCCTTCCCGTGTGTTTTGGTTTTCAAGGTTGCCCTCCCGTCGCATCCTCCCTCTCTTTATCGCAACTCCTTGCCCTTCTCTCGCAAGTCTGCTCACCTCTCTTGATCACAACGCCTTCGCCAGTCTCGACCGCTTCGCGACGCCCGCCACGCTGGCTTCAATTAGTTTCGTTTTCTGACTGGAAACGGGCCCAGAGCTGTTCCACGCGTTCTGGCATGTGTGTTGCGTGTGCGCGTCTTGCTCGCTCTTGGTGTGTGTGTGGTCATGATGGCTGACGAAAGGACTAGCATGCTTTTTCTTGCTGCTCAAGAAAAGGTTGAAAGTGTGACCGCTTGGCTTGAGCGTAATTCACGTGTTAGGTGCCGCGTTGCGGAGCGCTTGCTCATAGCTGTTGACCACTTGCCAGCCAACTTGCCGCTTTGGGCGTCCCGGTATTCAGCTGTGGAGATGGTGAATATTTCGTGAGTGGCGGTGATGGCTACATGCACGCGAAACTATTTTCCCAAGGCCGACTTCGTCCACATCGGGCCCGATGCCGAGCCTGAAGCTTCCGAACTGCGGCGGCGACTTGTGGCAGCGCGTCGTCGACTCCGACCTGGAAGAGCGGGTGGGACATCTGTTGCGATGGTTTAATTACGGCCGATGATGATGCCAACACTGCGGAACCCTGCACGGATTAGGGCATAGTGAATTAAGGGGGGACATGGGTCTTTAAAATTTTTTTTCTGTTTCTGGCTCAATCTTGACCAAACCTCACCATCTTGGACAGTTCTTCATGCTGATTTCAAATATGTAATTGTTTCTGAAATAGCTTCAGTGGATAAAAATATATTAACATCTGTTATTTAATTAATTATGCACTTCATTTGGGGTTTTTTGGCAACTTAATCAAGCCAGATCCAAAAAATAAATGCATAGCCCCAATGCTGAGGGCTTTCTGTATGGGGTGATGCTATTTTTATTAATTTTTAGGCATTATATAGATAAGAAAACAGACCAGCACTTACAATGGATATTCTGTTCAATTTTTGCTCATTACTATCCATAATTGTAATTAACAGTATGCTTCTAGAGTAATCAAAATAGCATCACCCTATAGGTAATGTTACTACAAATAAAATGATACCAAGTTTGTCATTCTCAATCAACAGTAACATATAAGAAAAACCCCTAAGGTTTAGTGTGGTGCACAAAAACGTCGAACTGAGAAAAACGCATTTAAAGTTTCTAATAACTGTAACTTTTGCTAAAGTGAAGCTAGAACAATAAAAATGGCACCGTTGTATAGCTCTACATTATGTGAGTATGGCTGTACCAAATGTGTCAATGTACCTTCCCAAAATATTTGCCACAGCTCATTTAAAAACTGTGTACTGGCCGTTGAATCAGTATAAGGAACCCAGTCTACAACTTTGTGGCTGTTCTAGTGCACTGAAAACCAAAGGAAGACACATGTTATATATAAAAACATCGCCCTTTTATACATAAAACACTATTTCAAGTAAAACACACATTTTTGTCCCAGACATCCTTACAATTCTAGAGCATGCCAGGGCTGTGTGCAGTGTCTCTTGCAGGCTTATGTCGCTTTGCAAGTGTTGCCTTTGTTAAACTGCTCTTTTTCCCTTGGAGAAAGTCATACTTTTTGAGCCGCACTCGGGGCAGGGGAGAAGTCCAAATAGCGAGTCTATCGCTTCTATATCAACAATGGCAAATTGCGTGCCGTTTTCTTTGTCGTCGCCCTCCAGCTGAACGTCCAGCAGCTCAAACTTTCGTGCTGTCGCGCACTGCGATGCCAGGGACTCTTTTAAATTCGCCGCACATATGGAGCACTCGGCGAACTCGTCCGCAGAGTAAAACGTCGTGTCGACATGACCTTGAATGGTTCCAGTAGTGCCGGATGGCGATCCGCTGATGTGATGATCCGACGAAGTGCTGCAGCTGGGCCGAATAGAGTGCACCGCTTCGGCAGGCATTCGCGCCAGCGAATCATCGTCTGAATGTGCTGCCTTGGCAATAACAGGCACTTGCGCCAGCGAGTCGTCGTCTGAATGTGCTGCCTCCGCAATAACAGGCATTTCCGACAGCCCGTTGTCGTCAGAATGCGCTGCCTCGGCCATCTCCGGCGTTCTCGGCGGCGCGCAGGCCGCTCCCTTCTGCCGCGCATTCCACGCTCGCTTTCGTTTCCTGCCAAAAGCTTGACGAGTGTTCTTCTTCAGGCGAGCTTCCCAAGCCATGCCGGCGAAATGCAGAAAGACGTATACGTCGGCGACGTCGGTACACGAGCGGGTAGCAGACGAGATAACACGCACGAGAGCAAGCGCCGACGGAGCAAAACCAAACAAACAAACAAAAAGGAGCGAGCAACCGTGGCCGCGCCGCCACGCCAGCCAATGGTAAGCGCGAGACGGGGGGGCTCGCCGGCGCGCGCGCGCTCTAGCCAATCAGCGGTCCGGCAGACGGCTTCGCAAAACGGGGGAGGGCAGTCGTTGTGTTGGAGCTACGCCGTTTTGAGAGCCCGCAAAACGCGCACAAAGGAACCAGCTTCAAAACAAGCCCAAGATGGCGCCGATCCGCCGACTGCTTCGCTGGCGGCGCGCGCGGGAAGTTCGAACAAATTTTTTGTTTTGCGGGTTGTTTTGCGACTCCCATGATGGTTTGAAAATAGATTTTAACCTATTTTTTTATCGAATTTAGCGTTAATAATTTGGAGAGGTGCTTATAGGTTCAAAGATTCGAAAAATGCGTTTTTCTCAAAATCGATTTTTTGGCCATTTTTTACTTTTCTAAGACCCGCATCCCCCCTTAAGTACGTGGCGAGAGCGATTTGGAGGAACCGGATTGCGAGAACGACGAAACTTTGGAGCCAAGGCCTCATGCAGCTTATGCCACGGGCCTCAGCGAACAAGCGCCCTGCGTTTTAAACTCGAGACTGCCCTTATCACTTCTGTTCTATGAAACACGTGCATCACGGTCTTTTTGGGTAAAAAAAGTTTGTGTTTTCACTCGCAACTTTTTTTAAAAGCTGAGTTTCATTTACTACGAACTTTGGGATACAGCGAACGGATGCTGCGTCACACTCAGGTTCATTATAAACGGGCTCGACTGTACTAATTGGGTTACCTGCTATTTTGCTCGCGTATAGACTACCACACAGCGCCTCAGGAAGGTGAGAGGCAGAGCTCGTAGCTTGAGCCATCAATATGTGAATTCATCCTGCTACATGATGGCATGCCTCCATACAAGAAAGCACTCAATGAAACTGTATGGAAATGAAATGGAGTGGAAATCAGTGAGCCAGCCTCCAAGTCTCTGAGTAGGGCACATAGATAGATGTCAGTGTTGACCGAAGAAACACTGGCATCGAGGTGCCCTAGAAGTATGTACTGCCGACGGTCGTTGGCGTCATGATGCGGTACTTCGCCCATCTAAAATGGCGACAACTCCCCACGTTAACTAGGTCACTGTGAAAGAGAGAAGCGGTAAAATATGTAAGGTGTGTCTGTAAAGACTCATTGACAAGCGTTGTTGGCGCAACGAGTAAAGCATCCGACTGCCATCGTCACGGCCCGAGGAATTGTGTTTTCGACGCCCAGAACCCTGTCATAAAACACTTTCTTGTTAAAATGTCTGGTTTGCCCAGAGCCGTTACTGTTCCTCCTGCAGAAAATTTGCATAAATGCTTAATCCTGTAGCACTTAGTACTAATTTTTGTGCCATCAAACATTTCTCCAGTGTTTTGGATAGTTGACTTTTCCCTACAAACACACTTTTGTCTGGCTGGTTTTAGGTTGAAAGCTGAACATCCTGGTAAGTTTTGTCGGGAACCGCTCAGACATACATGTTTCGGTGGTACATAGAAACAAACCATCGACCCTTGATATGCTAGTGTTTACATCAGCCGAAAGAAATGTGCTCATGGTTCTAGCGGGAAACGAGCTATCATGACTGTCTTTTGCTTCTGAGGCGCAGTTCTGAAGTGTTTCAATGGGCTGAGCTTGCATTTGTTTCTTTTGGTTTGTAATCAACTGCACTCAGCCTTAGCGGTAGACCTCGAAGGAAAATTATGACTTGGAAGGAGGCTGCCTAAGGTTTACAATGATTGAAAGTCGGAAATGTTAGGTATATCGTGGTACGAGATATAGTTGAGTTTGTTTCCCGAGAAAATGAGGGGGGGAAAAAAAGGTGCCGCATTTTTGGGTGCTCATCTTCGCCTCACTTTTACTTTTGGGCAATTTGGTGCGATTGCAGTGCTACGAGTAATGACAGTTTTGGCACAGTGCCGAGAACACTGTCGTCTGTCAACAACTCTGGTATGAGTCACGAAATACTCTGAGAAAGTTAATTTACAGTAGACTATTAGTAACAAGTGCTCCTGGCGAGATTGGGTTCGTGCTTTTATTCTGATCCCTTGTTCATCTTTGAGTAAATGAAACTCCTGTTAAATGGAACATATTTTCTTGATCCCTTCAGGTTTCATTTAATGAGAGTCTATTTTCAGAATGGATCGTCTGAGAATGTGGTCCAAGTTTTTTCAGCAAGTTGCTGCGCAAACAGGCACTTGCCCGTGCCCCGGCAGCTTTTTCATGTTTTCACGGCATATAAGATGAAGTCGTCGCAAGTGTGAAATTTTGCAGGCGTCAAGTGTTGTAAAGTTTGCAATACTGTAAAATAAGGTTACTAAATGAAGACACATTTATTACTTCAGGGATTCAATTAATCCACGCATCAGTATATCTTGCTCTCTTAGCCACTAGTCGACACTACTATCAAAAACAAGTTGTGTACACACCAGCACACAGTGCGCTTGAAAGGGTAATATCTCAATGACTAAAGGGCTGTTGTTGATATCAGTGACTTTCTAGACATTTTCAAGGGTTAATCTATCGTTCTGGCACAAATATGTTACTAAGCTCGTATCTCTGTTTACAGGTTGTTCTTTGTGATCGAGTTTGTGCGGGGTGGCGACCTGATGTTCCACATGCAGCGGCAGCGTCGCCTGCCGGAAGAGCATGCCCGCTTCTATTCGGCTGAAATCTCCCTTGCCCTGAACTTCCTGCACGAACGGGGTGAGTACTTCTTTTGGTCTCCCCACTTATCGGGTGCGTGTGTGCTGTGCACACGCAGTTGTGGCATGGTGCAAAGTGAATGGCACTGCGTTCTATATATTGGACTCGGGAAATTAGATTACAATAGATTTTCAGTAATTCCTACATTTTTGGTAGGCCCACTATGTTTTCAATGTATCTTAAAGGTGCTGAATTCAAACCGCCTAACTGAACAAATTTTGTAAATTAAAATGTTTTGCTCACTATGTCTGAAAATATGTGCTGCCTTTCATTTGCTTCAAGTTTAGCATGTGCATCTTTCTGTCTCTTACAGTCAGAAATAAAGCCTATTGCCTGTCTAGAAAGTAGCCAAACTAGCCAAGCCACATGCACCTACAAACATATGTTTGCCAAGAAAAAGGTTGCTGAACAGTTATCAGTCACTTTCCCAGCATTACACTTGTGTAAAGCGGGAAAGAATTTTAAGTTTTGGGAAGGATTTTTATTTTGTCTTTTACCTACAGAAGCATTCACGCACTGTATAATAAGGGTACCAGTGTCATCGCTAACATCTAAAAACATTGCTGGCAATCACGAAGTGGCATTGCTGTAACTCTGAGAAATGAACAGTACCAGTTGGTATGTTTCCTCGGGTCATATTTACAAGAAATTTTGATGATGTGAACAAAATCCTGCGATCCTCTCAAGCTTGAATAATTGAGAGCTTAATATAAAACAAAATGGTCACTTAAATTTCATTTTGGCATTCCTACTGCGTAAACTTATGCGTGGTAAATAACTGGCATCGTCTTGTGTTGCTAGTGTCGTGCCTTCTTGATACAGAAGTGGTCGTTGTAAATTATGGAATGTGTATTGTGGGTTAATGTGGCATTGAGAACTGTTAATTAGGACAGCAATGCATGTCATACCCCATTTCGAGTGTTTATCTTAACCAGTGTGAGGCATGAAGTTTCTAGCATGACGTTACGCTTTTAGCTCCGACAGACTTCAGTTTCCTAAGAGTCATTAACTGAAAAACTAGCTAGTGGGGATTCGTCAACAATTGTATTAGCTCTTGTCAAGCAAGGTATGAAGTCTACTACTGCTACAAAGTTTGTTCAATAACAGTTACCATCATTGCTAAACCCCCATTTTCACTGCCGAGTCGTGTAGCACACTGTGCGCATTGAAAACGACAGATAAAATGCACAACAAGCTTCAATGCATCCTCTTATCTTTTATGTCAGCAGTCAGTTTTATAATCTATAAACAGTGCATGGTAATGAAAAGCTATTTGTAGAGGGGGAAAAGATATTGTGCATCATTTTCATGACACAACACATTTTGGCGAGTTGATATAGATAGTACATAGTAAAAAATTAAACAACGCAGAATCAAACAGACAAAAGATGAAAAAAAGCAAACAGAACACAATTGCTTATTCTAAATAAAATTTTTAGTTGAAAAACACAATTGTACTGGCTGACATAATCGTGGGGAAGAAAATCCAGAATCGCTGTAAACATCAGCCATTCCTACTTTGCACATGACACACTTTCTCTTGCACATGCAAACAGTGCATTTGCCGCTTCCCAAGATGCTTTTTTTTTAGATGCTTTTTTAGGTTGTAAATGGATGGCTGATGCAGTTATACTTCTCTTTTTGAATGGAATATACTTCAATGATTAAGTCGTGTTGCATCTATAATCACTTCATCTTGTTGTGAACGTTGTGTCTCTCACACTCAGTATGGTTAGCCACTTAGTGTGTGTCTATGTAATGTCAGTGGTTGCTATTACAAAATCTTGGTGTCATTTGAGGAAAGCAGTTTTTTGAGAGTGAGTGCCTCTTAGCAAGGCTGTATTTCGCTTTGTCTATGCCTGCAGGCATCATTTATCGGGACTTGAAATTGGACAATGTCTTGTTGGACCATGAGGGCCATATCAAGTTGACCTGACTATGGCATGTGCAAGGTGAGTCCCAAGCATGTTCTCTAGGTGGCCTTTAAGATGCCACTTTAAGATAATTTTGCATCTAAAGTGGGATGCTTGGGCAAGTTGTTGCAACATACTAGAAATTTGAAGAGCACGAAAGAGAGTACCAGTAAGAAAATAGAGACAGCAGCACTGTATGTTCTATATATTAAGTGTTGTTTTCTGTGTCTTTCTGTTAGCTGCTACTCTGTCTTTTGCACTGTTTTGATATTAAACGTTTTTTAAGTGCTTAGCACTTGAGGAGCCCCACTTGCCGTCAATCCGTAGATCTCCTGGAATTATCGTGTCTACAATCAAGTGATTAATTAATTCAGGCCTAAATCAAGGCTAACAATACTTAAAACCCGCATAATATAGACAAACACTGTCTAAAATTATATAATTACTGAAAATAATGAAGATGCAATTGCAGTAATGAACTTAACATAGCTAAAGATGCTTAAAGAATGCAGCTGACAGACTCGCCGCTGCGAGGGAGGGTGCCACCACTTCGCCAGGCACTATTGCACTTCCAACCAGGGCTTCTCTGACGTCGGCGCTTGCAGTAGGTTCGTAACACCTGGCATCGGTGTTACAAACTCCTGCAAAAGCATCATTCATAGACAGAGACTAACCATAGCTGTCTATGATGAGAGATGAACGGTAGCTACAAGTATTGCTGGGTGCCTGTGCCACACACTTCCTCACTAGTGCAGCCGAATTAGCGCAGAATTTAGAGAAGCACCAATCTCTACAGCAAGAATGAGTTAGCGCTGGATTAGGACAACATTCAGCCCTGGGTGTGTTTTTTAGGATTTTTTTCTTTCATTGGTGGTCTACTGGTGGTTGGGGGGGTGTAGTGGCTATAGCGTTGCAACATGAAGGTGCTGCTTTGAGTGCTCAGCCACAGTGTTCACCACTGGATGAAAGTTACCGTATTTACTCATGTAATGAACACACCTTTTTTTTTTTTTTCCCAAAAAAAAGTTGATGCCAATTTGGGGCGAGGCTTCATTACTAGGGAGAAAAAAGTCACGGGAAGGAGTTATAACTATGAAAATTTCGCCTGATGGCTTTGCTTGTGTTGGCTCGTGAAATGCGGGACAAATTTTTTTTTGTAGCCCGAAGCTTTTTGTTTTCTCTTGTAACAAAAGCTCACGGATCGATGCCGAAGTGTCAGTCCAGCTGTTTGGTTCCCATGTTCCGGCGCCTGCTGTTTGTAACCAGCCGTGTAACTAGCGTACCGGCCGAACACGCCCTGCACAGCAGGTGTCCCAACTAAGTTCACAACGACAAACCTAACAACAAAAACGCAGCGTCGGATGGCGGCGCACAAACGTTGCGGTAGAAGATGTGGGTGCACGACGCACTGTTTGGCGCGTTGGGTGCGGTTTCACTTTGCATGGCCTCTGAGATGGAAGGCGCACGGCGTGCTTTTCCACCGGGCACCTGTCATTTTGGAGGCTGCACACTTTGTTTTTTTTTTTTTTGCTTTGTTTTTGTGTTATTCTGTTTGCGTGGTGCTATCTGCAAAGACGTTTCCCCTGCATTCGACAGATGGTGTTTTGCCGCAAAAGGCATGACTTTCACATTTTTATTGACGTCTGCGCTCGCGCTGTTGTCACGGTTGCAAAACTATGTTTTGATGTTTATTGTGCTATTATTTTGTGATATAATAGCTTGATCTAACGTTGTTTGGATTGTCAATAGTTACTGGCTACCATACTGAAATAAAATGAGCAGATACATTAAAAACAGCTTTTTTTTTCCCTTATTACCAGGGGGGAAGGGGGTTCATTACACAAGTAAAAAAAAACGGTGAATACATTACTGCTTGTCTATAAGATTAAGGGGCATGTTGAAGAATCCCAGGGGCTGAAAATTAGTCAAGAGTATTTCTCTATGTTTTGGTTCATGAGCGTATTGTGTGTGTATGTGTGTGTGTGTGGTGTGTGTGTGTGCCTTTTTTTTTTATCGTGTACATATATATTGCCGCGAACTATGCCTTCTCGTCTGTGTTTCGTGGCGAACATCTGGCTGCGCCCGATCGTGCTATCTGTTGTGGGCCGCACCCATACTGTGCCGCAAGCGAAGTGCATGTTTTCCTCCTCCCTCGGACTATCTCATTTTGATAGGGAGAGCGTTTCGCGGTGGGCCGTTCCTTCACCACCTGGATTGATCTTTCTTTGGCATTCATTTCAGAGCACAGGTTCGCTCTAATAAAAAACTAGTTTTTCCCAAGAACTCTGCGTCGTTCCTGGCTACGTGACATCTGGTGGAGGTGCTGGGTACATGAACCCTGAACCCCTGACAGGTCGTCGGGCAAGTCCAACTCGCGCCAGCCGCCGACAGCTCGGACTTCAGCCGGAGTTTGGACTGCTTCCGGAAAACGTAAAGAAAGAAGACGTCGTGACCACCACCATGAACAACGCTGCTACTATGACGAACCCTGCAAACCCCCCTGTAGTCCTCCAGCAACCCAAGGAGCCGCCACCATTCCACGGGTCTCCTTCGGAGGATCCCGAAGACTGGTTGGAGCAAGTTGAACGGGTCAGGCTCTTTAACCGCTGGGACGACGAAGAGACGCTGAGGCACGTGTTCTTCTACCTTGCCGACTCAGCTCAAACGTGGTTTGAAAATCACGAGAGCACACTTGGATCGTGGCAGGAATTCAAGAGGAAGTTTTTGATGACATTCACCACAGTTGTGCGGAAGGAGCGGGCCGAGGCCATGCTGCAGACGCGCATGCAACACCCTAACGAAGGGGTTGTTGTCTTTGTTGAAGAAATGAAAAGGCTCTTCAAGCGAGCTGATCCGGAAATGTCCGAAGAAAAAAAGTTACGGCTGTTAATGCGCAGTGTGAAGGAAGAACTGTTTGCTGGGCTTATCCGGAATCCCCCCAAAACCGTCGCCGAATTCGTCGTTGAGGCTAGCACAATTGAGAAGGCCCTCGACATGCGCGCTAGGCAGAGTAACCGCCAGTTTGTCGACGTGGGCAGTTCGAACTGCGTTGACGGGACACGTATCCCGACGGATACACTACGTGAGACAATTCGCGCCGTAGTAAGGGAGGAGTTGCGGAAACTTTTTCCAGCGGTGCCGCAACCACAAGTGGCTTCCTTAAGCGACGTCATCCGTGAGGAGGTGCAACAAGCACTGGGCACCTTTACGCTTCCGGAAGCACCACGCGAGCTACAGGCGATGTCCTACGCCGCTGCAATTGGCACCAGTCGCCCGCTGGTAACTCGTCGCCAAGAGTCGCCGCGACGCCACTACTCGTCGCCCGCCCGACTACCTACGGCTCAACCTCCGACGCCAAGGAAGACCGATGTATGGCGAGCCCCCGACCGTCGTCCGCTGTGTTACCACTGCGGAGAAGCCGGCCATGTCTATCGTCGCTGCCCCTACAGACAACTCGGCTTGCCAGGTTTCTCAGTCGACGCACCACGCCCCGTACCCGGCCAACGACCGAGGGAGATCAACGAGTACCTCTCTCGCACTAGCCAGGAACCAGCTCGCTTCAGCCGGTCACCGTCGCCCCACCCCTACGGATCAACAAGCCGCAGTAGCCACTCTAACTCCACACGCGGAAGGTCCCCCAGCCCAGGAAGGGGAAACTAAGAGCTGCAGCTTCGGGAGGTGAAGTTGCACCACGGCCGCAAAGTAAAAACCCTCCAGCGACGCACCGACGCGCAATGGACGAAGATGCACGATGCGCCCACAGCCCGACGCTCCGTTGTGTCCCCGACATGATTCCCCAGCACGACGACAGCCACATGGCGCCGCCGCTACCCGATGCAACCAAGTCCGCAGTTACCAAGACGACGACGACGACGCCTGTACACCGACCATCAACGCGAACAAGCCGTGAGAGGACGCCCAGACGAACCCGAAACTCGAGAGTGACCACTTCTGATATACAACTGTGCATTGACGGCCTCGACGTAGTTGCACTAATCGACACGGGTGCCGACTATTCAGTGATGAGCGGCCCATTTGCATCGAAACTGAGGAAAGTTGCCACTAGCTGGGACGGTCCACACATACGTACTGCGGGAGGCCACCTCGTCACGCCTTGTGGAACTTGTACGTCACGCGTCACCATAAATGGCACCACTTACCCTGCTGCCTTCGTCATATTGCCCTGCTGCTCCCGCGATGTGATTCTAGGCATGGACTTCTTGACTGAGAATGGTGCTATTATTGATTTTCAAGCCAAGTCGATCAGTTTCTCGGCTGATCGCAGCGCTACAACAAAAGGAAGTGCGAAACAGCATACCGCTTTGAGGATTGCCGATGACCACGTCACCCTGCCTCCCCGTGCAAGCCTGATGATCGCCGTTTACTCTCAGGGCACCACTCCGGACACGGACGCCATCGTGGAGAACGACCACAGTTTACTTTTGGACCGCGGTGTCTCCGTCGCAAGAAGTATTATACGGTTGGTCGAGGGAAAGTCGCACGTTCTAGTCACGAATTTCACTGAAGAATATCAGCACCTCAACAAGGGCACTTCCATCGCGTTGCTCGAAGAAATTCCGGAGGAAAGGGACGTGATTGCCGTCGCCAACCTTGAACGCCAATCGGATGACATCAAGTCTGCTCATCTCTTCGACGTGAATCCGGCGCTACCGCAAGAAAAACGAGAACAGATACGCGCTCTGTTACGCCACTACAGCGAGTGTTTCTCGTCGACTTCGACGCTACGTCAGACACCCCTTGCAAAGCACCGCATAATCACCGAAGAGGACGCCCGACCATTGCGGCAGTCGCCTTACCGTGTTTCTGCCCACGAGCGCGAAGTTATTCGGAGCCAAGTTGACGACATGCTCGCCGCCGATGTGATACAACCATCCAAAAGTCCTTGGGCTGCCCCAGTTGTGCTCGTCAAGAAAAAAGATGGCACTCTAAGGTTCTGCGTCGACTACCGGCGACTGAACAAAATCACGAAAAAAGACGTATATCCACTCCCTCGAATCGACGACGCCCTCGACCATCTT